GGGAAAATTTTTTGTTTTTTTTTATTTTCTTTTTTTTTTTTTTTGGCCCACCCGAAAGTCCATTTGCATATGGGAGGATGCATGCGACCTTATTCTTGTATAGCAAATAGCCAGTCCTTATGATTAAGTAAGTATTGCGCCAAGCCTACCTTCTTAACAAATCTGTTTGTTGAGTTTGCATTTGCTAAACATTAGGCTCTGGTGTTTTGTTCGCTGAATTCAACTTATTTTGCAATAAAAAGATTTTCATTAGACTAATAAGCTACCCCCAAACAGTTTTATTAGGAATAAAAAGATTTTCATTAGACTAATAAGCTACCCCAAACAGTTTTATTAGGCAAGGGCAGGAATGTCATTTAACCACCAATAAGTTAGTCTGAATAAACTGTCCCAAACAACAAGCTAGATTATTCTGATAATCTGCAGATTATCAGATTATCAGAATAATATGCTTATCAGCAGATTATAAATAATCAACAGCTGCGTCAAACAGAGCCTAAATCTAAATTCTGATTATTTCAAAGTAAATCAGTTAACAAATGCTGAATTGTACTGCAAAACTAATGTAAGCAATATCATGGAAGCCTGATTTGGCTGTGGGAGTTTTGGTAAAGAAAATTGAATGAGTTTGTTTTCTGTGTTGAGATTTCGTTTTTGTCATATTCTCTATTGTATTTGACATTGCACTTCAATAACAATGCTTGGCTTTTTTGTAACGAGGTTCCTGAATTTTCTTACAAAAAGTTAAAAAAAGTAACATTATTTAATCTACTTATTTTAGTTGAACTGAACGTGGACAACATATTTATGCATATCTAAGTTTGGATCTTTCTTAATAGCTTTTTTTTTTTTTTTCTCTCTTTTTGCTGCATACAAGTAGACTGAGCTTGAAGAATTGGATACAATGGAGCCCTCCTCTGCAATATGTGAAGAGTAAGTGATTACATATCTAACCACAAAACTTCAATTTTTACAGTTCTCTCACCCAAATCATTTATGCCACATCAAAAATACTACTATTATATGTTTAAAACATGAATTATATATTTTCTTGAAATAAGGCAGCATGCATAAAAATTGAATTTCACACGCTAATTATTTAAATGCATATGAATTGAGTGGTATGCATGCAAAACTTTCTTTTTTCCCTTAAATTCAACATTAATCTGCAATTTTTTTTTTTTCTATGAATATTATTGCTTGTTCATTGGATTTCAGTTTTGTATTCTCCATGAATGGAATACCGGATGCTCTGCTTCCCATGTGAGTGACTCCAAAATACTGAAAAATATTTTCTTCAATCCGCAACCATGTTTAATTTGTTGGGTTGTTTGTATTTCAGTACAAATGGCCCTGAAAATTCTGCATGGGAGAGGTGGTTTCAGCCGGTTCGAAGCTCTCGAAATCGAAATCACGCTTGGTGGACCCATAGAAGTGCAGATCTTTCTTAAACTTACTGCTCCCAGTTGGAGCAGAAAACTCTTTTCAAGTAGAAGGTATAATAGTTAGCAGGTAGAGCATGTTGATACAAGCTTGCAAAGAATTGTGTGAAATGTGCAATTTCTATTTTAATTGAGCCTTGTATTTATCAAATCTTTTTGTGTCATCAATATTGCGTAATTTTGAAGCAATTGGATAATATAAGTTTTTTATTTTTTCGGCGAAATACTTATTTTGGGTTGAAATGATCATTTCTGCTGAGCTGCGTGTGTTCCGATTCATATTATGCAAGTTGGATCACATTGATGTTTCTAATGTCTACTGCAATTTATTTATTTTTAGCATTATATTATGCAAGTTGGATCACATTGATGTTTCTAATCTCTGCTGCTATCTATTTATTTTTAGCATTCATAACACCCGAAACATTACTATTTACAAATCTAGCATTCTCTTTCATCCATTCCTCTTTCATCCATTTTTCATATTCTCACTCAAATATCAAAATTCATAATGTTTTTTTTATCAAATTCTCAATGATTTGACCCTGGGTAGTAGATTTTTGTAAATCATAATGTTCCTTGTGCTATTTTTAATTTTCATAAGAATGGTAAATGTGTCTTAATACGTTTTTTTTATCAAATTCTCAATGATTTGACCCTGGTATTAGATTTTTGTAAATAATAATGTTCCGGGCGCTATTTTTAATTTTCATAAGAATGATAAATGTCTTAATATCATAAAATTCACAAATTCTGTTAATTTAATGGATCAATTGTGGATTTTGATTTTGCTTATCACTGTATAGAGCATTAGCATATTATATATATATATATATATATATTAAAATAAGCTATATTTTTTGGCTTAAAAAATAAGAAATTTGATGAATCAGCTGTTTAGCAGTCAACCATAGTTTATCATGAACGCCCTCAATCATTAATTTCGTATATTTTCAATACTCAGGAAAACCTTTATGTCATATACTATGTACTTCTCATATATTCAATAATGCTGCATTCAGGCTGGAAGATTATGTGAATGTTCACCATTAATTTGACTAACAAAAACATTAAAAGAGAATTTTTTTAAGAAAATCTCAAGCCAAATATACATAATTAATGATACCATCAATCAGCATACAAAATGTTGCATTAAAAAAATAAAAATAAATAAACGGTAACCTCAGCTCACATTGGACCTTCTTCCTCCAGACAGCTCAGAATTGGTCTTGGAGCTATCATATCCAGACTGAATCAAATTGGGATCACTCAACACATCCTGTATAAAAACCTGACTGTTCACCGGCGAGCTATTCGAGCTCCTCATCACACAGTTGTGCATTCCATCTTCCCCAATCGATCTCAACCTCTCCAGCTCCGGCAGCACCACACCACCCAGATCCGGCCTGTCCTTCCTCCTCAACTCCGAGCACTTCAACGCCACTTGGGCCAACCTCACAGTCTCCTCCACCGGCCAATTCGTCACGCTCTGATCCAGCAGCTCTTCAAAATTCCCCTTCTCCAGAGCTCGGCTGACATGGTGGGTGAGTCCCATCGGCGGCCTCGCGGTGATGAGCTGAAGAAGCATGATCCCGAGAGAATAGATGTCGGATTTCACGCCGAGCATTCCGGTTTGTTGGTATTCGGGATCGATGTAGCAGAAGGTGCCGGCGGTGGAAGTCATGCGGTATTGGGTCACGGTGTCGGCGACCGCAGGGGGGACTAAGCGAGCGAGGCCGACATCGCTGATTTTGCTGACGAAGTTTCGATCGAGGAGGATGTTGCCGGGTTTTAGGTCACGGTGGACGAGGGGTTCGGGTTTGGTTTGGTGGAGGAAGAGCAGGCCGGTGGCGATTTCGGCGGCGATGCGGAATCGGTGCTGCCAGGGAATTGGAGGGGTGCTGTTCCGCCGGAAGAGACGGTCGTCTAAGCTTCCGTTCGCCATGTATTCGTATACCAGGCAGCCGTATTCGGGGCAAGCGCCCAGGAGGAGCACCATGTTTGGATGCCTGATACAGCTCAGGACCTCCACCTGTGGCACAAAGACGGAGAAATAACCTAATCTGGCCACCATTAATGGAAGGAGGTGAGTATCAAGTATTGTACCTCTTGCTGAAACTGCGTTCTTCCTTGAGCAGCATCTGGCCTGAGCACCTTAACAGCAACAGGTGTATGGTCCAAGAAACATTTATACACGGGGCCATAGCCGCCCTCACCAATCTTAAGATTCTCGGCGAAGTAGTTTGTAGCCATCTCGATCTCCTCTATTGAATACCTTCGGTACCTGACAGGAGAATAAGCATGCATGGCTTTCCTCTCCTCCGCTTCTCTGAAGGCTTGCATCTCCGCGTATCTTCTCTTCTGAGCTTCCAACTCTGCTATCCTCTGCTGTGCCTCAGCAGCTTCCATGGCCGCTTTGCACTTTTGCTTCTCTTTCTCTACAAGAGCCATGGCAGTCTCCTCTGCAAGCCGGGCTTCTTCAAGTTTGTGCTCTTCTTCTTTCTTCCATCGTTGGAGTTCGAGAGCCTGGAAGAAGAGGGTGTCAGGGAAGGGGATTCTTGCTGTCTTCATAGACTTCTTAGGAGAACGCTTACCTTCTGCTTTGAGATGAGTGCTTCTTTGCAGGCGGCATTGTACATGTCCATGGTTTGCTTCAGCTCCAGCCTCAGTCTCTTCATCTCAGTCTCTACATCATCCTGAAAGTGAGTGAACCTTTCAGCTTAATATCAGACATGGTATTTAGTTTGGGAACTGGTGAAAGGAGTGATTTACATGCATACCACTTATTCGTATGAATTTACATATCTAACACCCACACTCTTTATTTTCTATATCTATATTACCCAAATATTTCATATCACATCAAAAAAAAAATTATTATTTTTTGGCACTATTTAAAAGTGAAATAGACATTTTCATGCCAGGATGAGATGTTACAGATGTAAAAATTGAAATTTAGGTATTAGATCTGTAAATGCATAGAAATTAAGTGGTATGTATGTAAATCTTCCTAGGCGCATTTTCATTCATACCACCCAATTCTTATATATTTACATATCCGACCCCTAACCTTTACTTTTTATATTTATACCACCCAAATCGTTCTTGCCACATCATAAGTTTCACTATTTTTTTTTTGGGAAAGCTGAGCCCGAAAGGAAATATTCAAAATTCGAAGGAGACCTCGTTGTATGAAATTGCACTCTCAACTACTATAAAAAATGAAACACACATTTTCATGAATAGATAAGATGATATATATTTAAAAATTGAAGTTTATGATAAAGAATTGGGTACGTGCATACCTCCCAATTCCTATATTTTTATATATTTAAGACCCAATTTTGTTTTTTTACATTTATACCACCCAAGTCTTTCATTTTTTGGTATGAATATAAATCTTCCTACACACACACACAAATATGAAGAACTATTAACAAGAATGAAAAATAAATTCAGATACCATGGTTTGGGAAGACCAAGAGTTAGAACTGCTGGCCCCAGAAACAGAAGAGAACTCATTTCCAAAGGAGTACGAATCAACAGAGCGAATTGGAGTTCGAACAGAGTCATAACTATGGTGGTCAAGCCCATCTGAAGCATTGGAATGTTTTGACTGAAATGTTCTGTCGACGCTCGGTCTCCCTGAGCTCACAAAAGAGATGTCTGTATCAGCCTGCAACAGTTCCGCATGGGATTTCGCTCGATTTCCCCTTGTAAATGGCGACCTGCAGAGAAAATGGCACAAGAGAAAAATTCAACCTTCTTTGGTAAGTCTGTCAAGACTGTTTTCTTAAAAAGATTTACATACATAGCACTCAACTCTTTATGTATTTACATATCTGACACCATAACATTCATATTTACATGCATACGACTCAAATTTTTAACATCAAATAAAAAATATTACCATCACTATCTTTTTAAAAATGAGTTATATTTTTTAATACATAGGCGTTATTAAGTGTAAATATCGAAATTTAGGTGTTAGATATATAAATACTTAAGAATTTCCCTTTTTTTTAGGAAGATTTACATTCAACTTAATTCTTATGCAATTAGATATCTAAAACCTATACTTCGACATTCAACTTAATTCTTATGCAATTAGATATCTAAACCTATACTTCTTTTACGAACGAGCACCTTACCCATGCATTCAAAGGTGTTTTTCATTTTCTAAAAGTTTAAATAGTTGTATTTTTTTTGTGTTATCATATATCACACATTACCCATGTATGAAAAGTTGTATTTTACTTTTTAAAAATTTAAAAAGTGGTATTTCTTATGTGATATGAAAGATTTGGATGTTACAAATGTAAAAAAGCAAACTATAGGTGCTAGATATGTAAATACAGAGGAATTGGGTGGTATGCATGTAAATGCATGCCCCTTTTTTTTATCAAATTAAAACTTTCCAAGGAGGTGAACAATATTGAATATAGTTGATAGCATGATCAGTCAAATATAAATCTTTAGAGAAGTCAGAGCACAGACTCACTTGATCGATTCATCGTGCAAGTTCCGAGCCTTAGGTGCACTTTCACCTGAGAAAAGCAGAAACATTTTTATAAAATTTTAGGCGTAATAAAAAAAATTACGAAAATAAACCCAACCTTTTGGACCCAAGAAATGGTGTGGCTCAGCAGTATCAGGTTTGAAGCTGGCTTGGCTCTGTATCTGAGCTCGCAGTGGAGACATTGCTGGAGCTGCTCTCACAGCACTTCTGGTTGACAGCAGTTTTCCCTTAGATATAACATACACTGTGCAGAAGTCTGGCGCTCCCTTTGAGACGTGTGAAGCCACATCTGCGCTCTTAAATCTTCTAATAGAACGGATTCTCAATTAAAACTTCTGAAAAATGTCTATGAGATTCTATTTGAAAATAGAAATTTTTAGTAGTTTTTCATTCTAAATGTATGATTTTAGTGTTTTTGCCTTGTCAACCTTCAATATTGTTGGTACATCACCCTAGTATTATAAACTCATATGAAGTTGGCACATTAGTTGATTTTTATCTAAGAGCATCCCTTAATTTTTCAACTGAATTATTGAACTTCATGACACAAATTTTGTTGGGTTTAAATTGAAAAGTTTGTGGTGCAACATACGTGGCACGACATAAATTATGGAAAATATTTTTGAGGATATGTGGTGGTAGCAAGGGGATTGGGTTGATATTATTGTTTTTATGCGTATGTGATAAATCTAAAATTAGTGTTTCTTTGGGCTTTTATGTTTAGACTTCAGAAAGCTATACTTTTCTACTTGTAACTTTATTTCTTCTTCTCTGTAGGTGATTTTTTTTTACATATAGGATTCTTCATGTAAATCTAAGTGGCTTAAAATTTGTCATTGTCCCAATTTTGATTGGATTGGGTTATTTGGATTGGCTAGTTATAGGGTTAGTTAACACATAAAATTTTGAAGTTTGATGATGACAGTTGACTAAATGGCAAATATATTGATTTACAAGTAAACCCATATATTTAGAATGATATAAAATGTATCTTTAATAAAAGGATAAGAGAACTTGCATTGAAAAACAAAATATTACCTAATAAATCCTCCTTTAGATGGAGCTCCAACAACAAGCTTCTCAATTGCAGCCTGAGATACAAATTCTACAATCGCCTTTGCCACATCTGTGTCTTCAAGCACCACATCCTTGCAATGAATCTACAAAATTTTGCACATTTTGCATCAAATAATGCAATGTAAATGCATAAACTAAGGATAGGTAAATCTGTAAGTATGTTTTAGAGTACAAATCTGGAGGAAGTTACTGACATCTTTTCTTGTGCAAAAACAGCGAAAAGGGAGGAAAAGTTCTTTCATTTGAGGATCCACAGCGCCTTTGTAGCCGTTGGATAGATCATTATGCTGAGAAGCTGCAAGAAGGATATCAAAAAAAGGGTTTAAATTTGTTTTTTTTTTTTTTTTTTTGAATAATTATTTTGATTATGGACCTCCGAATATAACCAGTCTTTTGTATAATCCATTATTTATATCATGAACAAAATAACATATTATGTGTCATGATACTGCATTGATCACTAAATTAATGATTAGTAACATTCTATTTAGCACTCAATATGAATGAATTGAGAATAAAATTGCTCTACAATCCATTTTGTTATACACCTTATTTGGCCCATTATTTCATTATACTTTGTAGACTAAAATGAAAGATTTTAATTATTTTTTACATGCTAAAATTCAAGGCTTGTTTTCTTCCAAAAAATGAGAACGTTAAGAGTTAAAATATCATCACAAACTTTGGTCACAGTGAATTTTATAATCATTGCATTTACTTTAAATTTCACATTGACCAAATTTGAGCCTATCAAAGCCTAAATTATAATAATAATAAAAACACTAACATGCATATCACACAGATCTTATGTATTTACACATATTAACACCTAAACATTTATATTTATGTGTATACCACTCAAATATTTAACATCACATAAAAAATACCACCATCACTATTTTTTAAATGTGAAATACAACTTTTCGTGCATAGATTCATGGCACCAAGATCTTATAAGTGTAAATATCAAAATTTAGGTGTTAGATATGTAAATATATAACAATTATGTGGTATTAATGTAAATTTATCAAAAAGAAGAAGAATCCAAATGATCCAATCAGCCAAATAACTAAAACCGATACGATCTAAACAAAAGATACACACAGAAAAAGGAGGGGCAAAAGAAAAGAAAACCTGTAGCCTGAACGTTAACATGAACTAAGGTGATGGTCTGGCCCTTGCCAATGAGATTATCGACCGCCCATTTCAAAGCATTTTGACTGCTCTTATCCCTGTTAATCGCCACAGCTACCAACGGAAATGCAGCAATGGCGTCTGCATCCTTCATCCTTCCCCCCTTCTTCTTCTTCTTCGATTATCTCCTTCAAATAATCTGTATCTTCTCCTTCTCTCGATCGAGGAAAGAGAAGAGAAATGAGGCGCGGAACAGAGAATAAGGTAGAATTTATGGTAGTTATCCGCCTTCCCTTCTTTCCAATTTCTCCACTCTTTTTTTAGTATTTTTTCCAGCTATTTTTGAACGATGTTGTTTCAATCACTGGTGCTTGCGGTCCATATTAAACCTCTGTCACTAATTCTGGTACTTGTTGTTCCATAGCTATGATCCAGAAGAAAAGACATTTAATTTTAGAATTCTCATTGTTTGATATCCATCACTTTGTATCATTCCACATTTCCACCACTCAAAATAATAATAATATTACATATAAGGTACTTGTTGTTCCATAGCCTAAGCTCTAAAACTCACCTATTTACATTTTAGTACCCAAAATTAAAATAACACCTTAGCCGTTGAAATTAACAGCCTTGATATGTGTTTATGCCCGGTGGTCTCTCTACCCTGTTATTATGGGTGTAATTCCTTGCCTCGATTGGACAAATCTACTTGCCCTGACAGGATAACTTATTGTTGGCCTTGAGAGCCGTCGGACGAGTTTAATTCATATGTTATTTGTGTGATTGTATGTGAATATAATTTGAGTCATTCATGATCATATTGGTTCATGGTCTTGTTTGAAATTGGGTTTTGAGAGTTTTACTCACATTCGTCATCATGTTTGAATATGCATGCAATTGGGGAGCCAATGATTTTTCAAATTTTTTACATGGTTATCAAGTGAAGTTTCATGTTTGTTACATTATTGCCTAGGTAATTTTTTTTTCAGTGCCATATTATTACCACCTTCGACGGGTAATATCTCGTGACCCCCAGTTTCGTCGGACCATTGTCGTCTATCAGCCAGTGGACCACAACTAAGTGGTTAGTGTTGTTACTGCCATCACCATCGCCTAATCAGACCTCAGTTGTTGGACCGTCAACCTCATATCACTATCGTCTGATTATCTCTATTATTATTGTTGGATCACTGTTGCTTAGCGACCACCGCCATTGGTGATAATGAATACTGATCTCTGTCACACACCTTTACCAACAGTCTTCCATCATCGCAGTCAAGTTGTTGTCACTTTTACAATATTTTTTATAGTTCTTATAATATCATTTTCTCTTGTTCAAGGGTAAAAAACTCTTATAACATATATTTGAATAGTGAAATCATTTCAACTATGTTCAACCCGATGATTTTTTCTCTTTATGGTTTTCCACGTAAAAATTTTTGATTTCTCTCTCCATCCGTTCTTCTTTTATCTGTTAGTGTGTTGGATTTTCATACAATGTTAAGACATTAATATAACTACTACAATGAATTCTTCTAAATGCAATGATAATACACATATAATCATGTATGTCATAATGAGCTTTATATATTATAATAAGAAAATAATTTTATAATAATTAATAATATAAAAAATTTAAAAATAAAAATTTATTTTTATATTTTCAAATCATGTGGCCCATTAAAGCATATTCATAGTGTTTTAGTTTTATATAAGAGAGTTAGTATTACACTCTTTATATGAAAAAAAAAATAAGCTGCACATTATGAGCTTATAACTTATCAAAGTGATGGGCATGTCATGAATTAGCTCAATCAAGCTCATATTAATGATATTTGAGGTATTTAAAAGTATGATTATAAGTTTAACTTAATACAATTGATAAATTTAATTTTTATAAGAAAACATTAGCCATTAAATTTAGAATTAAATTTGTTTAGAAAATGTTTTATTTGGTGAAGAATTTTTATAAGAAAACTAGCCATTAAATTTAGAGTTTATGAGAAATTTTCAAAATTTTGAGGTATTTAAAAGTATGATTATAAGTTTAACTTGATACAATTGATAAATTTAATTTTTATAAGAAAACCATAGCCATTAAATTTAGAGTTTATGGTAAATTTTCATAATAATTTTCAAAATTTACAGACATTGGGGATTATTGAAATTAAGATGAATTTTGAATTTAAGATTGATATCCGAAAATGAAAATTGGAAGGATTAAAAAAATAAGTTCAAAAGTCAAACTTACTAGAAATAGTCAAAATTAAAGTTAAAGTCAAAGTCAAATCTCTTTTTTCTTAATTAGGAAAAATGGAAAAGAATTAGAAAAACTTGAGGAAGCAACCAACACATGTTCCAAATTGGTTTGACTAAGCTTATAAATATCTCTAATATATATCCCCAAATATTAAGGTTGTTTTTTTTTGAAATTATTTAAATTTTTTTATAATCATCACCCATGGGAAGAGGATTCATAGAAAACCAAATAATACAAAAAAAAAAATTTCTTAAAATATTTAGATATGTTTAATGTTTGATATTTGGCTTTCTAAATATAAAATTGAGCCTCAATTAATAAAATTTATTAAAATTTATATTTTTATTATTAAAAGAAGGCTTTATAATTATGAAAATTTTATAAAATAAGATGTATATATCCAATGCTCATACAATTGAGTATAAGAAGTGAATATTACAAAATATTTTCAAAATTTTTATAATTTTTTGTAATTATTATTAAAATCATAAAAATTAGAAAAAGACCAAATATATTTAGAAAAATAAACAAATAGTTTGACAAAGTACACAAATACACCCACACCCAAGTTGATGTTTAGACTTGAACCCATGCATTAATGATACTCTCAATGTATTAATTTTGATTTTTCTTTAATTATCCTATTTTTAAAATTAGAATTTAAAATTTTTCAAATTTAATAGTTGAATTTAAATTTGTAAAATTTTTATAGTTAATTAAATAGAATTTAAATATTAAAAAAAGAAAATTGAACATATAAAATTTAATTTTGAAAATTGTAAATGAACATAGGATGTGTAAATGATGCTAGAAAGCTTCCCAAAATTTATGAGAATTTTTAAATTGATGCAAAATCTTCAAGATTTTTGGAAAATAATGTTAACTATTAAAAAATTCATAACCTTCAATTAATTTCTCACAATGTCATAAAAAAATTATCATAGGATTATTTTTGGACAATAATGTTAAATATTAAAAAATTCATGCCCTGTTTTTTAAATCGACAAGATGAATCTACTAATTAAAAAAAAATGGAATTCTAAAAATTGAAAAAAAGAATTAAATATCATGCAAGTATTTTCCTAGGATTCTTTAGAATAGGGATGCATCTCAGATGTAGGTAGCATCTCTCTATTCATCTTTCCCTTTTCCCTTCTCCTTCATCCTTCGTGATCGTGTCACTCATAGGGGGCGCAAACGAGCAGAGCTCGAGCCACCCTTGGGCATTGGCTTGAACTTGATTAATTTTATGGAGTTCGAGCTTGAGCTCGAGCTAAAGTTTATGAGTTCAAGCCTGCTCACCAGCCGACTTGTTTAACATTAAAGAGAAAATGATATTATTTCAATGTGGCTTTCTAATAAGATGACAAAAGAAAAAAATAATTACGAGATAAATAATAAGAAATCACCTAATATATTATATAGACTATTATTTTTTTAATATTTTTAATCCCTTAAAAATAAGGTCTTGATACTTAAAATATTTTTAAGTGAATATTATATTAATATTTTTTTAAATAAACCGGCTCACGAGCTAACGAGTTGAGTCGGGGCTAGCTTGAGCTTGATTTGTTAGCTCATTGAGCTCTGTTCGCGAGCCGAGCTCGAGCCGGCTCACAAGTCGACTTGACTCACTTACATCCCTAGTTACTCCCAATACCCTTGCAACTAGGGATGGCGGGAAAAGCAACAATGGGATCGAGACATGTGAAAACCTCCGAAAAACCTATATCTCCCCGTGTTCATGTGACCTAGCATCACTCCAGCTTTCGCCTTCTCTATAAGTTTATTCTTCAATTTTTGTCACTCCACATCCTCCACTCGCACATCTTCCCCTCACCTGCCTCGTTCCCTATTTGCATGCCACAATTGCGACTAGGACTATCAAAAAAAGCTCATTGTTCGCCAACAGCTCATTAAGTAGCTCGTGTTTGGTTTGTCCGTTAAGTAAACAAGTAGAACACGAACAAATATTTTAAGCTCGAAATAAATAATATATATATATATATATGTGTATATATATATATATAAGTTTAAATCATAACCCCTCGTGTGGTTATGCGGTTCTACTCTATATATTGCATATGATTGGTTAAGTTAAAATCCAACACCCTACATCTATCTTTTCCAACTAATTTTAAGAGCTAATTTCAAGCTGAACACTAGTTGAACACGAGCCAAACCTAAGCTCGCGCAAGCTCGACTTGTTCGCAGCCCTAATTGCGAATAGAGCAAGCAAGGAAAGTAACAATAAGATCGCTGCAAACTCAGACTGCCAGCTCCCAATTTCTCCAAACCGAACCACACGGCCGAGCCCTTTATTTCGCACACAAACCCTCACTCATGCTTGCGCCATCCCAAGCCAACTAAACAACTCTTCTTCTGATCGAAATCGAAAAAGCCCCCAACCTTCCACTGTTGTTCATACCCAATTTTCATTTGCCCAAACATATTCATCTTTAGTATTCCCCGGGCCATGAAACTTCTTGCATCATTTTGGGTGCACTTTGAAATATGTGTCAAATTTGAAGCCTAGTCATCCTCGTCGCTGCCTCTAAAACAAAGATATAAGTTCAGGGAAGTTGTGCTTCGCATCATTTTTTTGCATAATAATTGAAAACTCATACGTGTCTTATTGATCGATGGATTGAAGGACTTTCATACAGTTGCAATATCTCACGACACTGACCAACGCATTTTATAAATAGTTGGGCAGACCAAACACTCTATTGCAGTTCTCTAAACGGGAACGATGTCAGAAGGCTACCAAATTTGATAGTGATATTGAATTTGCAATAAATAAATTAAAATTTTGAACTGTGGATTAGTTGGCCATGCCTTTAAAATGAACAAAAAAAAAAAGAGAATATAATTTGTGAATTAAAAGACAAACTCTTCACCAATTCACAATATAATAGCAAATAGAAGGTGCAAAAGCTCAAAATGAAAATATCGTTGCATTCCAAAAAGCATAATATTCATGCAAGCATTTCAAACTCTAACTGAATTTGTCAAAAATCTTGCATTTGTGCTCCAAGAAACAGTCTAACTCTAATATTTTGTCTTAAAAGATGTATTTTAAATAAAATATGCATTTGTATTTTATGAATGCTTCAAATATCATATTATGTCTTGCAAGAACATAAAACACTATTTAACTGATCCTTATAAATGCATCAAACATCATGTTATACTTTGAATAGCATAAAATAATATGATCACGAATGTGCATCAACATTCATACAAAATGCATAATATGGGTATGTTGAAATGCATACGGAATCTATAAATTATATCTTGCATGCACTCCAACTAATATATAAAATGCTCCGATACTAGGTTCGGAAATGTTACGTGAGTTAACATAAGGTGAAGTTTAAACACTCGAATTGTGCTCCACCAAATTGATTAAGTGTTTAAAATTTAAGAAGTCTGAGAATATTGTGCGGGTTCAAATGAAATTTTCATTCAAATTGCTTTCATTTTGAGAAGTATACAAATTGCCTTCCCAAAAGTTCATACTATCTTAGGCCCCGTTTATTTTGGATTTTAGAACCATGGTTTGGATACAAATGCAGTTTTGAAGTGTTTGGGACACCAACTTCATAAATTGTTTTTTAAAAACGGGTTCTTGTTTATATAGTAGCCCAAATGCGGTGGATTCATTGTTGCGGTTCGGTCTGGTATTATTATCACAATACCCTCGCCTCGAAGCTTATCGCATTTTCCCTCTTCATGCTCTAGGTTCGCCTTTCTCCTACTTGCCGGAAGATTTTTGCCTCCTTCGCCTTCCTCACGAGTCGAGTCCAAGGCAAAACTCTTCAAACTCCCTGTGGGTTATGTTTTTCTCCTCTACTGATGAGGCGAGGCCTTCCTCTGTTTCCTACCCTAGCCGAAGGATGGATTCTTTTAACTTTTTTTTTTTTAAAGAGTTGTGAAATGATTCATGGATTACAATGGTGGAAGCATGATAGTCTTGCCCTTTGCGGCTCCTAATGTTTCCTGCCATAGCTGAATGATGGTTTTATTTTTAAATTCTTTTATTTTCTTAGATTTATGGAATGTTTTATAGTAAATACTTCATGGATTACAATGCTGGAAGCATGACAGTCTTGCCCTAGTTTTTATTGCTCATATGTGGCTCCTAATATTGTCTGCCCTAGCCAAAGCATGGTTGTCTAAAGGTGTAATAACAATAGCACTTTTGCATCAGATGGCAGCAAATCCGACAGCTGTAATCTGCAGTTCTATGCTTTTAATTGGTTGAAATGGGTTAACCTTATTAAAAGTGAGCACTATTTATAATGTAACTGTTTAATGGGAATAACAATGTTTGTGCTATGGCGGTTATTTAATAAATATGAATTTCGTGCTAAGTATGTAAATTATGCTTGTTGTTACTATGTACCGGACAACATTATCGAACATGAGCTCAAACAACTCAACAACCTCTAGGGGGATCAAACAACGGAAAATTTTCTATGATTACAATCTAATGTGCATTGTTTACACTACTCAGAGATGTGACAATGCAGGCCAAAAATTCTATAGATGTCCAAAAACTTTAACAAATAGACATTATAAGTTCTTCCAGTGGGTAGATGAAACGAGGGAGGCAATAAAGAAGCCAGTTGATGAAAAAATATATGTAATTGATGATACAACAAGAAATGATGTGAAAGAGTTGGAAGTTTCTTGTGAAAACTTTACTTCTGTTTTATTTTATGATCATACGTTACTTTTGTTGTTGTTGGCGATGTATTTGTTTTGATGTTTTAATGTATTTGGGAAGGTCAAACTATTAATTGATAGGTTTTAATTTTGTACACAAACTTATCTGTTTGACCAATATCATATATTATTTGAATTTTCTTATAATTTGTTTAATATTCACCTCAATTTATCTTATGCTATTATGAGTGAAAATAACTTCATAAATTGTGATTGGATTTACCCCACTTTCAAAGCTGTGTTTTCCAAACAGTTTAAACCAAACTGAGTTTCTATATTGAAGGCATTACAGTTATTATGTCAACAGACAGCGTTTACAAAACTGTGTTTTCCAAAGAGATCAACAGCTTCTAAAACGTCAGCTTTTGAGCATGGGATTTTCAACAGCAGCTTCTGTAACCAGCTTTTCTAAAGCAACAACCGAAACAAACGAACCCTTAAAATTATAAAATTTATTTTGAAATCAAATTCAAGTGATTAAATAATGCAAGCTCTCAATCAAGTAGTTTTATTTATAGGGAAGAGTTGTAAGTCTCACTCAACTAGTCTGATTCTCCTCCTTTTAAGGACCGGAGTTAACGAATCTAATAATTTTAATAAAAATCCAAATCACAAATATAAAAATGTATAAGTCCAAATCATCAAGTTTGATCATCGTCCTCATTATGACGAGTAGACAATACTAGTATTCTAAAGATATAAAAATTGATAAATTTCAAATAAATTTCAAACATAAATATTTGAAATGTCCAAATCTTCAATAATGGCCGAGTTGATAGAAGATTTCAATCAGAAAGGTCTATTTTCAAAATCAAGTTTCAATAAGTATCTAAATAGATCCAAATATTATAATTCTTGAATCCAATCATTTGCAAACATGATAGAGTTAACAAAGTTAATGTACAAACATATGTTCATATTAAACTCGATCCTTTAAGAGCAAAATATAAAGTGGACAAGGTTCAATCAAACAATCAAATCCCACATGATGGGCGTGTTAATTGTGAATCTCAAACTAAGGAGTCTATTTTCAAAATTAAATTTTAAAATGCATTTAAATAAACTCAAATAGCACACGTACATGAGGGCACGCACGTGCGCATATACTCGATCTTCTCTAATCAGAACATAGTTGACAATATTCATGTATAAGCATATGTTCATATTAAATGAGATCCTTTAGAAAAAAGATGTAAAATTGATATGGTTTAAATCAAACAATCAAATCTCCAATGACTGAGGTGATATAAGATTTCAATAGGATATGTTTATTTCCAAAGTTAAATTTCAAAATCTATTTGAATATGTTCGAATAATATATATATATATATATTAAAGGAATGGTAGGAAGCTATTAAGACGAGCCCCGACCATCCCTAGATTGGCTAAATAGTTGAGTACCACACCCTACACACGGGAGGATTTGAACCCGTGACCTGAGGGGACTTAGGACCTTCAGGGAGGCTGCTCTACCAACAGACCACAGTGCGCGGACTTAGGACCTTCAGGGAGGCTGCTCTACCAACATACCACAGTGCGCGCATGTGTGTGTGTGTGTGTGTATATATATATATATATATATATATAAAAGGACAGTAGATAAGATTCAAAATTATTTAAATCCCAAATGATAGTCGAGTTGATACAATATTTTAACCGAAATGGTCTATTTTTAAAATTAAATTTTAAAGTATATTTGAATAAAGTCAAATAATATATATAAACTCGATCCTCTGTAAGCAAGATAGAGTTGCCAATATTTATATACAAATATACGTTTATAATAGAAAGAAATAAAGTCAACAAAGTTCAAATCAAGGTTTCAAATCTCCAATGATGATGAAGTTGATAGAAGATTTCAACCGGAAGGGTATATTTTCAAAATTAAGTTTCAAAATTTATTTGAATAAGTTTATATATATACATATATATTATATATATATATACATATTTGATGCTACGCAAGTAAGACAAAGTTGAAAATGTTCAAAATCAATTATACACAGTGCTATACAAGCAAGTAAGTTGAAAAGTCGTCAATGTTCAAATCTAATAATTAAGTCCTCGATGATGATCGTGTTGACTGAAAAGCTCAATCAAATGGGTCAACTATAAATCAAGTTGCGAATCAAATTATTAAAATAATAAATCAAAACATCCAACTTAAAATCAATTACCTAAAAGCTAAAAACAAATAATAAAAAATATTCAATTAAAAATCAATCACTTAAAGGCTTAAAGCAAGTAAATCAATACACTCAATTAAAAATCAATCACCTAAGGCTCAAAGTAAATTTTGTCCACCCTCCGTAACAATTTGCCCAGGAAAACAAACTTTTTGATTGATTTTAAATCACAAAGAGCAAATATCACATTGAGTGCATCACTATATTCACACTTAAAGCAATCTTGTGTGAGTAAGGACATAACCCGAGTTCTCTGCACTGTGATTTGGCTCAAAGGCTCCACAAAACGTAATGGCTATAACCAAAGCCTTCTGACTGGATGGTTGATGCCAAATGACAATTGTATTAAGGTCACGGCCACAGCCCGTATGCTACCCATAATTTTTTATCATTTGAGTTGTGAGCCATAAATGTACAATTGATAGACATAAAGTCTTTTATTAATTAATTAATGTTGGCTTAAATTTGTCCCTTTAGACAAACATCCACACCAGATTTACAAAGGTCTCTTGGACAACACAAACCATAGTTGTTGACAAGGATTCTTCAATCAAATCAGCGAAACCATGAGATCTTGAACGGGTTATTCATCATTACCCCCACCATCCGTTTTAACCTCAAGATGATAAGTTTTATAAACCCAAAGTTTGCTACAACTATATGTTGAATATTTAGTGTTTAATTACTAGTCTTAATCGAAAGTATTCTTCCATCATTGAGAGAAGTAATTAACTATAGCGGCTTGCGTCTATGAGAAACCACGAATCTCAGATTAAAAAGTACTCACAAAATAAAGGCAAAATATCTAATTAGTATCTTATCTACAATCCAATGTCATTTGAAATTTCGATTTGGATATTAAACACAAAGCTCTCAACAACAATGAGAGTCAAAGGCGACAAATTTTCGGAGCCCACACTTGGAGCTCAAAGAAGGTATGGAGTGGGCAGGGATTGGTTTTCTTAATCACCCAAAAATGAGCTTTTAATCATGATTTACACCAATTTTATGGGTTGACAATTACCATGGAAGCCAAGTGGAAGGTGAGGTTTATGTCAAATAGTGATTAGCACTGTATTTTGAGGCTGAATAGTGGAAAACCCTCATTGGCTACAAGTTCCGGTATTTATACTTTAGATCCATGTCATTCCATGGTAATCCATAGCTAATTGGCCCAATTATAGGTCAAGCTTATTATTGGGCCTAACTTAGGATCTAGCTATTTGGATAGGTTGGTTGAATTGGTTTGGCCATTAGAATGGTTTTGACTCATGTTGAACAGAAGTGGTTTTTTGGGGCCAAGTTATGACCAAATTGGATAAATATGATTAAATCATGGTATGGGTTGAGTTGATCCAGCTTCGTTTAGCTCTCTAACATCTTTATCAAGCTCCACAAGGAATGGCCCAAGCCTTTTTGGTGAAATTGTTAGTAAAACCCAATTCAAAGGGCATAAATTTCCAAATAGGTTAATTTCAGAATTAACAGAAACTCATTTAGCAAAAAACCCACTCAAATTATTATGAACTCAAACCTCAGGACATTACAAGTTTTGTAAAACAGCAATTATGCTGAGTATAAACAGAAAAGTTCATATTTTCATAACCATGCAGAGGGAGGAATTACCAATTTATTCACATCGCTGATGATTATTTCCAAAGTACTTTATTTTTAAATGAAGTTCTTCCCTGCTCCATTTTGTAGCTTGTCACCTGTTACTCCTAGGAGCAGAGATCTGCTGAACTGCAGCCAGTGGATTCACCTGAACAGAGAATGCAAGCTGCCAAGCATCGATCAAAGCCCTCCGTATGAGCAAAGCTTGTCTCCAAGCAAACCTGTGGATTTACATGGGTAAAAGAGAGTTCAAAGGATTGAGAGAGCACAAAAAAATAAAAAGAAGCTTCCCCAAAACTTCCACAGGAGCATAGGATTTGAAGAAGAATAAGAAAGTTTTTTTTATTATTTTATTATTATTTTATTATTTTATAATGAGTGAGCCAACAGCCCTAATTTCCTTCAATTGTTGGCAGTCTTGAGAAACCTGGATCAATATCAAGTTGGGGCGTAACTGAGCCAAGCCGAATCGTGAGCTGGCTAGGGTTCAGCTCAATAAGTGGCTTGTAAGCCGAGCTCAATGAGCCAACAAACCAAAAGCTCAAGCCAGCCGACTCGACTCGTTAGCTTGTGTCCGGCTCATCTAAAATAATTTTAATATAAAATATACTCACATAATATTAAAATACAAAAATTTATCTTTAAATTATGAAAAATGCTTAAAAAATAATAGTCTATAATTTAAATTCAAGTGATTTATTATTATTTATCTCCTGAGTATTTATTTTATTGGTTATCTTATTATTAACATTAATTTAAATTAATATTATTTTCTCTCATTCATGATAAACAAGCCGCCTTGGCTCGTGAGCCAACACTAACTGGAAGAATTAAGCTCGAGCTCGAACTTGATTAATTAATCCAGCTTAGGATGAGAGTAGCTTGAGCTCAACTTGACACATTTACATGCCTGGTTTCAAGTCTCTCAAGTTTCTCAAGTGGCTGAAGTACCAAAATCTTATTAAAAATATCTTATTCAAGCTTTTCACATAAAACAGTTGATTAAAACTAGGAATCTAAACAAAGAGAAATCCTTCATAAACAAGTAAAGAGGCCGTCTAGGACAAACATTTAAAATCCCACCAATCACTGCTCAATTTGACATTTAATCCAACAAAATTAACTAAAACTAAAGGAATCATCTCCTATGTTAAATCCCAGCAATCACTTCATAGAAACTTCAAACATAATGGTTTCACTCGGTTTAAAAATATGAAAAGGGCGGGCAAGCAAAAGAAGAAGAGATAGATAAATACCACACAATTTTTATGCATTTACATATCAAGCACGTAAAAACTAAAGTTTTTTATTTACATTTATAAAAGTTTGGTCGTATAAATTTATGAATGAAAAGGTGTATTTCACTTTTAAAAAGTTAGTAATAGTGAAATTTCTACCTGGCATAAAACCTCTTGAGTGGACAAAATACACAATGGAAGAAACCAAAGCCCTGTTTGGGGAAGTTTATAACTGCTGGCAGTATTTTAAAAACGACGTCCGCCCGTTTGTTTCGTGTGTTCGGAGAGATTAATCGGAAACAACGTATGAATTTATATAATAAACGCAGTCGCAAGATCGACCCTGCGGCCCGCATTCATTCCGTAACTTTTACCCTGCTGCCCTCATCTCTCTCACGTCCCTGCTGCCCTCATCGTTCTCGCCATTTTCGCCCGAATGTCGTCGCGCCCGAAGCACGCTAGCCGCCGCTCCTCGTCGGTGAACGCCTCGCATCCTCCTTTCTTCCGTGTCAGTGCTTCCTACCTGATGCGTCATTTTTTTTGTGTAGCCGTCCAAACCTCCTCTCCTCTCGGCCAACCGCACACGCGGCCTCTCTTTCTCACCGGCGACAACGTTCCGCCGACCTTCTTCCCCTCCGGCGTCGAGCTCTCACCGAACCTTGCTCCCTCTCACTTGAATTTATAAATCATTTGAAGAGAGTTCATTATGTATGCAATATTCAAAATCAATTTTGATTTCTAATTGCATCCAAGCCAACTGATGGAATCTCAAAAATTGCCTATTCTTTACGGTGCTTCACACCTTTATGCTTCTTCACATTTTGGGGTAGTTCTACCAGGCACCTGATTGAATTTTTTTTAAGAAGAATGAATTAAGAAATCAAAGAAATGTTATCAGAGACATTGTTGAAATACAATAAAAATCATAGAGCTAATTTTTTGTTGGAGTCTTGAATGAATTAAGAAATCAAAGAAATGTTATCAGAGACGTTGTTGAAATACAATAAAAACCATAGAGCTAATTTTTTGTTGGAGTCTTATAAGATCATCCTTGATTTTAGCTTGTACAACATAGATTATAGATGTTTACTCTTGAGGTATATATATATAAAGTGAGTTTTTGATTATAAAATATCAAATATATAATTATGATAGTTCTGTTGCAAACAACACTACTGCACTAGGGCAGAATGGTCATTTATCTAGAAACAACTGCAAATCAGTTGTTTTCGAAACATACAAATCAAACAGTCAGCAAGCTTATTCGGATCAGCTGTTGATCAACAGTTATCTGGATCAGCTGTTTATCTGGATAAGTTGCAACTGCCCCAAACAGACCCTAAGCCTTCACTTTTCTTTGCACAAAAGGAGAGACATATATACATCTCTCATAGGTATACAAAATTGGAATAAAACAAAAAAATGAGAGAAAAAATAATAGGGATCAGCGATCCTATAGGAAAGCAGATGGATTAGAACATCAGGGTCATAGAAAGACAGATCTAACGGTATAGAGCCTCAGTCTTTGTGCCTTAAGTTCTTTTTTATTCAAAGGTTGTAAGTAAACATATCCAATGTTACAAGTTTTGATCCATGTGCCTTAAATTCTTTGTTATGATTTGAACATTCCCCCTCAAACTGGATGGTAGAGAACTACAATTCCAAGTTTTCTTATGATATTTTTAAATATTAGGCTGCAAAATCCTTTTTGTGAATATATTGACCCGATGATTTTCTTGGGAATATTGTCTTGTATCTACATTAGCTTTTTCATCAAAGTTTAATTTTTATTATGGTTCAGTTGGAGTTTCACACGACATGCAATTTTTCATCTTGATTTTTTTCAATATGTCCGAAGCATATTTATGTTGTGAGATACATAAAAAACCACACACTGATTTCCGGTAGCATGGTGCTCCACAAACATCTCATGATCATGTAATCAATTTCTTCTAAAAAAATAACTTTGGGTCTTTAGGCTCTGAAGTTGGAACTACAAGGTGCTAGAGCTTTCCTTTTCCCTTTATAAAGGTCTTCATGATTTGGGATCATTTAAATACAAGTTCCCCTGTTCAATAGAAAAGATGTTTGAAATACTTGTAGTTCTCCTTGGTCTAAATTTCGCCATTAATCATGATTGATTCTTTTGAATGGAAGTCAAAGAACCTCAACATAGTGAACAAAATGAGAACTTGGCAAGAGGGATAAGGCTGAGAGTGGAAACCCTAACCTTAGAGAATGAAAATAAAAATTGGAAGTGAAAACTCTAACCTTATAGAATAAAAATAAAGGTTGAAAGTGAAAATCCTAACCTTAGAGAATAAGAACAACGGTTGGAAATGAAAACACTAATCTTAGATAACATGAACTAAGGTTGAAAGGGGAAGAAACAAATGTTGGAAGAAACACCCTAACCTTGCTCAGATATCATACAGAAAATAAAACAATTGAAGAAACTATCAAGGGACTTCACTTTTCTTTGCACAAAAGGAGAGATATATATACATCTCCCATAGGCATTACAAAATAGAAATAAAACAAAACAATGAGGGAAAAATTAATAGGTGTCGGCGATCTTTTCAAAAAGCATACAGATAACAAAATGAGAATCATAGAGATAAATCTAACGGTATAGAGCCTCAATTTATGTGCCTTAAATTTATTGTTATTTGAAGGTCATAAGTAAACAAAACTAATAGTACAAAGCCTTGATCAGTGTGTCTTAAGTTCATTGCCATAATTGGAGTAGAAATTCAACAAGTGGTATATTTGTAAATATTAAAGTTTAGGTGTTAGGTATGTAAATATAAAAGAATTGTGTTGTATGTATGTAAATGCCCCGAAAAGAAATGAAGCAACTTACTTCCTGAGTTCTGAAGCTTTCCTCTGAAAGAAATAAGAAGCAAACGCCATAATGAGTCCAACTAATATAATTCTTCCCCGAGGTAGAGCCAGATGAATGCCGCCCAACTTCAAGCGAACAGTAGAAAACCACCAAAATGGGCTGCTTCGATGTGTTAAATTCTTAATTGATGGATTCATAACTTTCGTAGAAGCTAATTTTGATCCACATCCATTCATATGGTTACTTGAGTTTGTGGATTTCTCAAGAACTTCAGTTGGGGAGAGAGTTTCACCAGCCTTCTCTTTGGTTTGTAAAGCTTCTGGACTGAGAGAAGAACTAGAGTTTGCAGCAACATATAATGAATGCAGTTTCCTCAGCATGTCCTATATCAAGATAGAACAAAATATTAACAATAAATAAAATAAAATAAAAAAACTTGGTGATTGTGAGGAAAAAGCATTTATGATTGCACATAACACATGCTTTACAAGAATTGTGACTTTCTCAGTACCTCTTTTTGTTCAATCCGCATTTCAATTTTATTTTAAGCCTGTAATGCGGTTATAAGTTGTTTAATCTAAAAGCAACAAAAACATAAATTTTATGAACTATTCTTTGAACAAATAAACAATTTATACAAGGCTTCCTTGGTTTTTGAGCGGCACAAGGTATGCTGTATATTAATTTCCGCTTAATCGAATTGTATACTGCCGAAGGAGCATGACAAAAAACAAAGCAAGCTAGGAAAAAGGACAAAAACTGGAGCTAGATTTTGTTCATAATTCACTACAATGACTGTATCCCCTGCTTTAACAAGAGGAAAAACATGCATATTCGACTAACATGGTATTAAAAATAGTCAGAAAAAACCAGAATGGAAAAGCATTCCTTGTAAGTTAAGATAGTAAACTGCAGCAAAACAAAATGAGAAATTGATTCGTTCAAATCCTTGTGTTATGATGCTCCCAGGTTATAATGCTCAGCTTTAGATCTCCCTCGATTCAAAAGAACTCATCTCGAGTTGAGTATTTGTGCATATGTGCCACAGATACTGTAAGTTGAAGAAGTGTGAATGTTGAGTGGAAGATCTACAATGTAGGCATTGCACTAATTCTTTTAATTATTTAAAAATGTCCAAGTTTTCGTGGGCTGAGGTTGGAGCAAGTTCCAGCTCAAAATTGTCCTTATCAATGACGATCCATGACAAGGTCGCCCAGATCAAATACTGTGCATGGCCGAAGAAGATACGCAGCTTGTTTATATTGAGTTCAAATTAAGTAATTGTGATTAGACTTCTTCAGTAATTCAGAGAAGTCACTTATCATGTTTTCAACAGTTTTGTTATTACATTTTGGAAGCACTACAATATCTATTGCATGATTCAGCATTTTAATATAAATGATACTAAAAGTAGGCCTCCCAGAAGATCAATTGGGCATGGTGTTGTCATCGAATTTAGCTTGCCCCAACACTTCATCCCAACGTTTAGGATGCTCTACAGTGCAACATATTCCTGTGAGTGCTGTTAGCAACTTCAGGTTGGCCATCTGATTAAAAATGATAAGCTGAGCTAAGTCGCATATATGTTTGTAACCACTTCCATAATTCTATCAAGAAGCAGCTAATGAATTTGGAGTCTCAACAAATATGAGGCTCCACAAAAGACCATTCAAGCAAGTAAATTTAGCAACAAATATTTTCCAACAAGAGACGAAGTGTGTCATCTTTGAAAATCTATCCATGACCATCATAATAGAATCCAATGCTTGCTTTGTTCGTGGTATCCCCAACTCAGCCAAGACAAGTTTTCCCATATCTAATCAAGATTAGAAACTGGTACATGCAAATCTGTGTTTTTAAATGTTCCTTAGCATATTTGGCAACTTTCTCAATGAATCTCACAACATCCAAACAAAAGTTGTGGAATCTGCCTTGTAGCTGGGATAAAGTTTTGTCATCGTGAGCTTTCCTACTACCTGTGTGTACTTTCTTAATTATTAGTTGCCACAGAACTGCATCTGAAATGCATAATTAATTTACGTTAAATAAAAAATGACGTCTAACGGAATACTCTTATATGGGATGAGATTTTCTGCACTGCTACCATGGATTGGAGAATCAGGATTGCTACTATATAGTTCTTTTAAGGCATCCAACCCTATCATTTCAGTCTGTAATGTGATTAAGAGGGAGGACCGTCGGCTGACTACATTTGGTACATGATTTCAGGAGCATGTCTTATGCATATACACAAAACTAAACTTTTGTAGAAAGAGTGCCCAACAGACATGCATCCAACTAAATGATTTTTGTGAATTTAGTAATTGTAACATTTGGTGGTCACTGAATAGCACAAAATTTTGATGCAATAAATATTGTTCACATTGTTTGAGTGGTATAATAATGTCATATAACTCATTTTCGTAAATTGCCCACTTTTTCTCTTGTGTCGCCGAATTTTTCAATTAAAAATTCGATGGGTCGATCCACATGAGAATGAACAATTTTAAGTCCAATGGCGGAGACATTGGTATTCACTTGGAAAGGTTTGTCAGAGTTTGAAGAGCAAATACATGAGCTGAACTTGGAGGTTCTTTGATAGTTTCAAAACGGTTTTGTTGCTCTTGTCCTCTTCTGAAAATTTTGGATTTTAAGCAAAATGTAATGGGCACCATAATCACACTAAACCCTCCCATAATAAAAGTTTATGCATCCAACAAAAAAAATTAAAGCAAAAAAAAAGTTAAAGAAAATAACGCACACTATAAATCATAAAAGCTTGGAAAAAATCCTTTAGATATGAATGCCAAAAATATTTTGGTGTACCTTGCAAGATATGCAAACTATTCCAACAAAAAGTAGCATAGTACAACTCAGTGCAACCTACTAATTCAAAAGTTCATACTAACACGCAAAAGGCACAATCAAGGTCTAATGGCAAAAAGTCCAATAAATTTTACACAATCCACAGGTGCAAAAATTTACACAATCCACGACTCACTTGTCCATCATTGTCAAATACAAGTTCATGACTCAATCATCCACCATTGGTTCAAGAGACATAATAATTGTTATCATGTTCTCCTAAAAGTTTATCGTTCTATCCCTCTTGGAAGGTGGATTGCACCACTAGGGATTCAAACCTACTCTTATACCATTTAAGGTTGCATGACTTAGCACAATCCATCGTTGCACATGCTCAAATTGTGAAGAAAGCACAACCAAGACTTTATAAACAAACATTATAATGTTTCTTAGAAATCCTCAATCATTTTCTCTATCTTGAACCCTGATTAAGCAGCTGGGGATTATAATCTGTGACCTAGTTTGACATCATTTGATGCAAACAAATTACTCAAAAAATCTGACCAAAAAGAGAGAGAAAAACCAAGGCTCTATAGCTAAACTTCAAGCCAAAGAACCATGATTATAGAGAATCCATACAACATATGAACCAATCCTCAATCAAAGCCAAATATAATTATATGACTTGCTCATCCATTGTTGAACGCAAGATAAATGAGATCGTGGTCATCATGCTCCCTTGATACCCCTAAAATTCATCATCCTCAATCATTTTCTCTACCGTGGACCCTAATTAAGCAACTGGGGATTATAATTTGTGCCATAATTTGATATCATTTGATGCGAACAAATTACTAAAAAAATCTAAACAAAAAGAGATAGTAAAACCAAGGCTCTGTAGCTAAAATTCAAGAGAAAGATCCACAAGTATAGAGAAACCACACTACATATGAACCAATACTCAATCACAGCCAAATACAATTAAATGACTTGCTCGCCCATTGTTGAAAGCAAGATAAATGAGATTGTGATCAACATGCTCCCTTGATACCCCTAAAATTCATCATCCTCAATCATTTTCTCTACCTTGGACCCTGATTAAGCAACATGGGACTATAATTTGTGACCTAGTTTGATATCATCTGATGCGAACAAATTACTTAAAAAATCTGAACAAAAAGATTGTATAACCAAGGCCTGTAGCTAAAATTCAAGCCAAAAAACCCTTTGCAACTCTAGCACTCTCTCCCTCCCTCTCTCTCTCCCTCGCAATCTCTGTCACTCACTCTCTCTCTTTCTTTCTCGTTTCTCGCTCTCTCTTCTCCTTTTAACCTCACTATCTCCCTCTCCCCTCCCTCCCTCCCAATCTCAATAACCGTCACAATTTCTCTGTCACTCTACTTCTCTATAACTTTTTCTCTTGTTTTCTCTTCTCTCTCTCTCTTCACCTATTTATTTCTCTCTCCTCTTTATCTCTATATTTTTCTCTTTCTCCCTCCCTCACCCTCCCTCTTTCTCTCTCTCTCTCTCACTCTCTCTCTCTAACTCACTCACTCTCACTCTCTCTCTACCCTTCCCTATCTCACTCTCACTCTCTCTACCTACCCACTCTCTCTCTCTCCCCCACCCCCTCTCTCTCTCTCTCTCTCTCTCTCTCTCTCTCTCTCTTTCCCCTCTCGCTATTTCTTTCATATCACTCTTTTATTCTCACTCTCTCTCCCCTCTTCTCTCTCTCCCTCTTCTCTCTCCCTCTCACTTCCTTTACCTTGCTGCTCTCTCTTCCTTTTTCACTCTCCCTCTCTTCCCCCTACTGCTATTTCTTTTCCATCTCTCTCTCACTCTTCCTCACACCTTCCCTATCTCTATTTCTATTTCTCCCAACCTTTCCCTCTTTCTCTGTCCCACCCTCTATCCCTCGCACACTTTATATTGCTCTTTCTTTATGGTCTTCGTTGATAACTATTTCCTTTATGACAGCAGGTATTCAAACTATTTTGCCTTCTAGTTTGACAGCAAAAACTATGCTATAATAACTGATTAAACTAATTTAGAAAACTATTAATTTTACATTCTAATATATTTTGAAATGCAAATATACATCATTGATTAATTGTGGAAACTGCAACAAAAGTGTGAAAAGAACACTCATTACGACCAAAAAAAAATATGATACGCTAGTTAACATAAGTGAATAACACGAATGGCCTCATGTTATCTGATTAGGAAATAAAATTAGTTAATGAAAGAGAGGAGACTGCAAGCTGCGGATGACAATGAGAAGATAAAGGTCAGGAAAATTAATAACAATTAAAGGGGGAAGAAAGATGAGAGTTACAAAAATTAAAAACACTTAGAGATTTAACCCACATTGTGTAAGCATGATTTTAATGTTTAAGCTCCATTAACTATGACTTTTTGTTCATGGATTAAATCTTTTGCATTCTTACCAGCTCAGGATACCACAACGTAAATAAGAATTTGTAACAAGATAAATTCCGAGATAATGCGAGAAATTATGGTTCCCCTTTCTATACTGCAACACTAGAAGATACCAGAAATACTTCATCTTGAAGTCCCTGTTTGAGCCCCAAATTGGGTCAAAAAGTCTAGTTATGCATGTAAATAGTGTTCTTCAGTAAAGGAATCCGTTAAAAAATCTCTAGACTCCTAAAATGCACTCCATTTGAAATAGAAGCTACAGTTAAGACAAACTTGCTGAGACTATGGATGGAGCTCCGCCCTGGCACTTGCACTCGAATCATCTCCAAGGAACACACAAGCGGTTCTTGCATCCAGTTTGAGTAAAAATAAGGGACATTTAGGTACATACAACACAAATCTTTCGCATCACATCAAAAATAACATTTGTTTTAACTTTTAAAAGAGGAATACACTTTTTCATGATGCATAGGCAAGTTGACCAATACATAAAAATTGAAGTTTTGTTGTTAGATATGTAAATACATAGAAATTGAGTGGTAAGTATGTAAATCTTCCTAAAAATAAAGGATAGTTCAAAATGGAATCCACAATTCACGGTGGACAGGCATGTGCTCCATCGATCCTACAAATGAATTTAGCTCAAGACATCATTTTTAGAAGAGCCTTTGTTTTTAATTAATTTGAGGAATAATCTTACGGCCATTGGGAGCAATTAAACGGTTCTAAAAATTTTCACAAAAAGAATTTACCAATTAAATGGAAGGATGGAATGTTTTCAAAGTATCTCTCCTTTTTTTAAAAAAAAACCATTTAAAATAATATCAGGAAATTTCATTCAAGAGATAACACGATAATTTGAAACCTTAAGATTATTTTATGATTAAGTATATATATAACCCGCGGCACCCGTTTCGTTCGCTAAATAATATCACGCTACCCTCACGTTATGTTTGACCATTGCCCTCTTCTTCTCTTTTCGATCCCGCGACCCTGTTGTGCTTCTCTCGCGATCATCTGCCCTAGCTCCTCCTTCTCTCCCCCCTTTCTGTGGTCGGTGGTTCCGATGGCATTTCTCCTCCTTCATTCTTCCCTTCTCTCTGATATTTGGTTCTGAAGTCACTCTCCCATTTCAAAGCACCGGTAATCTCTACCCTATACTATTGGTGTTGATATAAGGTTATGGTTTGAGGTTTGTCATTTGTGGCTTGCTACTTGCAGTTTATAATTTTGGTTTATTTGCGATTTTTGGTTTTTGTTTCGTTGCCAGTGCAGCCTTTGCTCTATCATCCATGTGGGAAGGTTTCTATGTGCGCCTCTACGTGATTTCTGACAATTTCTTTTACCTATCAAGCTTGTGCTCTCTGTTATATTTTGGAAGGATATGTGGGAAGAGCATGATTTGAAGCCCTAAGTGAATACTGACTTTTACTTGGTCTGTGGTTCATTTTTTGCTATTTCTTGGCCTCTCCGGAAAGAATTTTTTTTTGCCCAATGTGGTTTGCTCAGTTGAGGCCCTCCCCTCTCTTTTATTTTTGGTTCAATTGGAACAGACTTGCTGCTCTACTCGTTGATTGTCTTGTTGGTGGTTTGTGGTCTTTGTTAGATTAAGCAATGTTATGTTGGTAGTGATGTTTGTAGTGGTGGTCTTTTTTTTTTTTTTTTTTTTTTTTTTTTTGTCACAAAAAAAAAACCCCGGTATGTGATGTTGGTAGTGATGTTGTTCCATGGTAGTGTGTGTGTGTGTTGGGTGAGGTTGTTTTGTGTCATGGGGTTTTGGTTACATGGTGGTAGTGCTGGTGGTGGTGTTGTTGGTAGTGTGTGTAGATGTCAGGGGTGGCTCTTCAGTGTCATGGCGGCGGTGCTATTGGTGGTGATGTTGTGTCATGTTGGTGGTGTTGTTGGTGATGGTTTACCTGTGTCATGTTGGTCGCGTTGTTTATGGTGTTGTTGGTGGTGTGTGTGGATGTTGGTGGTGTGTGTGGATGTTGGTGGTAGTTTTTTGGTGTTGGGATGGTGGTGATATTGGTGAAGTGTGCGATGCTGGTGGTATTTTTTTTTTTTGTGATTATGGTGGTGGCCTTCGTGATGTTTGTAGTTGTGTTGTTGGTGATGGCAATGCTTGGTGTTGGGATGGTGGTGATATTGGTGAAGTGTGTCGATGCTGGTGGTATTTTTTTTTTGGTGATTATGGTGGTGGTCTTCGTGATGTTTGTAGTTGTGTTGTTGGGGATGGCAATGTTCAAGCTAGTATCAACATAGTAAAGACAAGAAATTGGCTCATATCTCATGTGGAATAAGGATATCAAAATAATGTTTTGTGACCTATCTTAAAGAGGTGGAATTAGAAAATAGGCCAACCACTTATTTTAACGAGGGTTGTCAAATATAATAAAGAAGTTCAGAGAGCGCAAATGAAGAAAACATGATAGGATGCAATTGAAAAACAAGTGGGAACAGTCAAAAAATGATTGAAAAACATGGAATGAGTTAAAACGTGGATCCACAAGCTTGGGACCCGATAAAGCGAACCATCAATGCTTCAGAAGAATGACAAGCTGAGAGATTTGTGTTGAGAATTTATTAAACGTGCAGTCCCTTGCCAATTATTTATTTCTTCAATTACATCAGCATATGAATAATTCATTGATTTGTTGGTCGTTTCAAATGTAAAAAACTTAAGTTCAGTGGTATTAACCCTGACCTTAACAAAAAGTTGGATCGTATGTTTGGTAAAGTCATTGTCTGGGTGATCATGCATGAACCTCTAACGAGACAAGGCTTGCTGGCATAGTTGAGCACGTGTATGTCAAAATAATTGCTAGTTCCAATGAATGCCACAACCCTAACCTCAATGAAGTTGAATCTACTAGTCGATCTAAACGTCTTAGGGTTGAGAAAAAGAATTAGGTATTGTTTTTATTAGAAACCAAATTTCACACTTAATTGTTTCATCGCTAATGATCTTGACATTTCATAAGCAACTTCTATTCAGCAAGTAATATGAATTCTCGAAGAAACTCCAAAAATTTACAATGACATATGGTTATACTTGTTTTCTATGAAGTTGTTTGATGACTCGAACCAGACATAGTTCTTTATGAGGATTACCCCTGACTGTATGGTCAATTATTTACGTTATTTTCATGACAATAAGAATACTTGAATTCCATTTTTTTTTCAGTTAGACATTTCATATTTGTATTTCATTGGGACATTATCAATGCTACTTTGGATATAGTTTGATCTTCTAACTTGGACACTACTATTTTTATTTATTTATGAGAGAAGTTGGATTGTAACTTGTTATTTGTCTTTCAAAGTTTATTTATGATTGTTGTTTGTTTAAAACATGATCTGATAATGGCTAATTCGGTGATTCTTATGTGTGTTAACTGCATAAACAATGAATAACATAGACAAAGAAAAACACAGAAGAATAATTGTAGCTGTCTTATGTTTGATGTATGAGTACTATAACTCATATATTGTTCGCTCTCCTTACATGAAATTTTCATACATTGGCCATAAGTGGATTGAGAAGTTGTTTGAAGGGCATCTAACAAAATCTAGCAATATGTTTCTTACGACACAACCTGTATTCACTGATCTTTTGGAAGAACTGCAGAAGAACCATGGACTTCATAGCTCTTCCACGATGACTTCCAAAGAGACGTTAGCAATAACCCTCTACATTTTATCACATAATTAATCTATAAGAGGAATCATAGAACGATTCCAACACTCATCTGAAATAATTAGTAGATATTTTTCAATTGGGTTGAATGTTCTAGTGAGTTTCTTATCATAATTTATCAAACCCAATGACCCAACCTTCCAAAGGCCCCCATAAAGATTTCAAAAGACCCGTGGTATCTGTCTATTTTAAGAGTTCTATTCATTCATATTTTCCTGAATTAAAAAAAAACAAGATAATTTGGATACATTTTTTAAATGCTTTAAGATTATATTGGAGCAATCGATGGAACACACGTGGATGCATGTGTGTCGAATAATGAAAAAATCATATCCATCGGGCGACACAGATCACCAAAACAAAATATCATGGTTGTTTTTGACAGGTGCTTCACTTTTATTAGGTTGGTTAGGAAAATAGTGCACACGACAGTTACCTATTCAAAATTTCCACAAGAACTCAGAAATACTCAATTCAAGTTTTATGAAACTGTGAAGTCTTAGAGAATAGAGTATTACTGATGTTGCATTTATGGGTTTGTATTTTGTGGTTTTAAACCTTAAGAAAAGATGAGCTCGAAGACTTATGATACCTCCAAAACATTATATTGTTATTGTGACAATGTTTCATATTTATTTGCCGACAACCACACAACTAAGAGGGACAATTTTACAGATGTCCAAAGAATAGAACAATGAACTGCAACTTCTTTAGGTGGGCGGATCAGTTCGAGGATTCCACCACCGATAGTGAACAGACGTAAAGAGTTTCATTGGATGAAGGATTATCTGATGACATTAATCAACTGCATTTTAAAAACAATATCATGATATTATGAATTGTTATTTTAATAGTCATATTTTTAATTTTGATTATTGTGTTGTTGTTTTGTGCGGTGCTAGTTTTTATTTTATAACATTTAAACTGGATATTTATTTTCAAATATAAAATATGCTGGCAAAATTGATTTTGTTATAAACAGGACTATACCACATGAGCACAAATATCATTTATATAGAAACAGCTTTTCCGCAGTTTTTTTAATAACTTACAGCTACCCCAAGTAGGCACTTAACCACAAAAAATCAAACGTAATTTACCATAGTTTCTTTACTACCAAATTTATTGAATTTAGCAGAATTTTTAATGAAATATCTTATATTTCAAGAGGAAAAATCAAACACCATACCTGACGTTTATCTTCAGGCATATCTAATTTCTCTGTCCAAGAAATGGCAAGTTCAGGCTCATGTAGAACCTTCCCAAGGAGAACCATAGCAAAAACTTCTGCAACTTCTAAATATTTTTCTGAATCCATAACTGATTGCCATGGGCATTTTGAAAAATTATTGTCTTCTTCAAGAAATACATAATGATCGTTATCCACATATCTCCATTTCTTAAGAAAATCTTCAAAGATTGTTCTAAGATTTGAAGTTATTCCTTCAGATATTTGCAAGCAGGTCCCCGTTAGAAATACACGAATTGGTATTGCTTCCACTGAACCAAAAAGTATTTTAAGCTCAGCAAACAATTCAGCTGTCCTTCCCAATTCTCTCAATGACTGAACAAACACCATTCCAGCTGACTCAATCATTCCAGACAATTCAATATCAGGGATTTGTTCCAAGGAACAGGTCCTTAAATTTTGAATTTGAGAAGAAGCGAGGGAGCAAGCTTCAGTAAAAAGGCCACAGACCATATACCTATTTTCAAATAATACTTAATGTGTTTGTATGCAAAAAAACTGGACAATCTACCAAAATAACAGCTTTTCCAACATAAATAAAGTATGAATAAACTGAAGGCGTAGATGAAACAAAATCAAGAAGATGGTAAAATTATACCTTTCCGAGAGCTCAATTTGGTCCCAGATGTCAGATTTTACTACTTCAGCCATGTCCGCTAACTTCGCTTCCTTTTGCTTGTTCAGATTTTCAACGAGGACAAAACTACAATGGCAACCTATATGGAAACAAATACACAGAATCATGAGTACAATACAGTAATTAAAATAATTGGAGAACAACTTCCATCAAAGTTTTATTTACAACTTGAAAGAGACTTCTATAGCCAAACAATCAAATAACTAAATCGTGTATGTACAAATTATTCCCCCCAAAAAACCAAATCCATGGTATTCTTTCCCCTATCTTCTCCTTCCCGCGATTCTTTCTGCTAAATCTCCTGAATCCACCCAACTTGCTCCGGGATTTAGGGGCTGTCTGGCAAAGGATTTAGCCAGAATTTAACCTGGCTTTGGGCGTAAATCTTGCCAGACGGTCAGTTTGGACAAATAAAGCCGCAGATTTGACAAATCCGGACTTCACGGATTTTAGCCGTAAATCCAGGATTTACTGAATCCTTGTGAATCGGGGAAGAGCAAATAATGGCTCTAATAAGCTCACCTTCCTCAAAGGTTTCGGGTTTGGAGCGGAGCGGAGCGAAAGGAGAAAGATGGGAGTTTCGGAGGTCACGACGGCGATGGTTTTGGGCGAAACCTGTAAACGGGGGAGAGAGGGTTTCGGCCGGCAGGGGAAGGAGAAGGAGCCGATGTTTTTGTGGAATTAATTGATTAATAATTAATATATTATTATATTAATTGTAGTTAGTTGCATATTTATTTAATTATTTGATAGTTAATTAATAAAAAAACGTATTAAATATTCACTTATTTAACAAAATAATAAGTAATTATTAGTTAATTTGTGCGTGTGCGTGTGTAAGTATATATATATATTAAATTTTCATTTATTTGCTTGAAATATAACTAATTAATAATTAATATAATTAATTACTACATAAATATTGATATATGAATGTTAAATTATTATTTAATAAATAATTATTTAATATTTATTAATGATTAATTAATTTAGTAAATGATTAGTTATTAGTTAGCATTATTAGAAACTATATTTAAATTGAATTAAATTTGATTTAATTATTAATTTTTATCATAGTAAAGCTTTATTACAAATTCTTATTCTAACAAACATAAAAATAACAGCTTTTCCAACATAAATAAAGTATGAATAAACTGAAGGCGTAGATGAAACAAAATCAAGAAGATGGTAAAATTATACCTTTCCGAGAGCTCAATTTGGTCCCAGATGTCAGATTTTACTACTTCAGCCATGTCCGCTAACTTCGCTTCCTTTTGCTTGTTCAGATTTTCAACGAGGACAAAACTACAATGGCAACCTATATGGAAACAAATACACAGAATCATGAGTACAATACAGTAATTAAAATAATTGGAGAACAACTTCCATCAAAGTTTTATTTACAACTTGAAAGAGACTTCTATAGCCAAACAATCAAATAACTAAATCGTGTATGTACAAATTATTCCCCCCAAAAAACCAAATCCATGGTATTCTTTCCCCTATCTTCTCCTTCCCGCGATTCTTTCTGCTAAATCTCCTGAATCCACCCAACTTGCTCCGGGATTTAGGGGCTGTCTGGCAAAGGATTTAGCCAGAATTTAACCTGGCTTTGGGCGTAAATCTTGCCAGACGGTCAGTTTGGACAAATAAAGCCGCAGATTTGACAAATCCGGACTTCACGGATTTTAGCCGTAAATCCAGGATTTACTGAATCCTTGTGAATCGGGGAAGAGCAAATAATGGCTCTAATAAGCTCACCTTCCTCAAAGGTTTCGGGTTTGGAGCGGAGCGGAGCGAAAGGAGAAAGATGGGAGTTTCGGAGGTCACGACGGCGATGGTTTTGGGCGAAACCTGTAAACGGGGGAGGGAGGGTTTCGGCCGGCAGGGGAAGGAGAAGGAGCCGATGTTTTTGTGGAATTAATTGATTAATAATTAATATATTATTATATTAATTGTAGTTAGTTGCATATTTATTTAATTATTTGATAGTTAATTAATAAAAAAACGTATTAAATATTCACTTATTTAACAAAATAATAAGTAATTATTAGTTAATTTGTGCGTGTGCGTGTGTAAGTATATATATATATTAAATTTTCATTTATTTGCTTGAAATATAACTAATTAATAATTAATATAATTAATTACTACATAAATATTGATATATGAATGTTAAATTATTATTTAATAAATAATTATTTAATATTTATTAATGATTAATTAATTTAGTAAATGATTAGTTATTAGTTAGCATTATTAGAAACTATATTTAAATTGAATTAAATTTGATTTAATTATTAATTTTTATCATAGTAAAGCTTTATTACAAATTCTTATTCTAACAAACATAAAAGCCTTTTAAATTATAGAAAAAATTATAAAAAAGTTTCACATTATTTAATTAAATATATTAAATACATTGATAAATAGATTTTTGGATTGAACTCTCTTAGAGTTTACTATCGAATTTATAGAATTTACTAAATCATACCAATTGAGATCCCCTCCATTTCCAAACACCCGATGTAGCCAAACCTACAAATAATTTTAAAATAAAATTTGCCAAAACCTACAAGCTCTCAATACCTCAAATCTACAAAATCTACATCAAGCTTGACACATATTATTATAAATATTTAGCAATTATTGATTAAATGCCTCTACAAAATAATGAACATCAGAGGATTCACAACACAAAATCCTAAACAACACGATCTAGTATCAAGGCAATAACCTCTCATCACAATAGACACGTAAATTCTATATATTAATTAATTAACATGGAATATTCTTACACGATAGTTACATTAAGATTAATGATGTATATTTAAAAATTAGTGCTAAAATATAATTGATATAAATTATAATTACATGTTTAAATATAGAGACAGTATTTTCAAAGTATCGTATAACACTACCGAATTTTATTTAGAGTGCCTCTCTGATGAATTTGGCTCATGATAACTACTTAAGAGATTGAAAAAATAATATTAGTATCTTGTTTGAACTCAATTTTAAGCCTCTATTTGTAAATCAAATAAATAAATACTAGTGACAACTTACTTTGAACAAGTTCAAATAGCATTCAGGTAAAATCTGTATAATATTGAGTACACTTCGAATAATGATTGGATTTGTACTATTAATCTATGTTCAAACATTTTCCAACCCATTATTTTGAAACCGATTGAATGTTTCAATATTGTTCTAACTATGTTTGATCTATGTTTGAGACTAATAATTCAATGTTAAGTCTGAAACCAATCTACAGAAGGTTTGCAAAGAGCCATGATAGTTCAGAGAAGATTTTAATTGGGCCCGAGCAAAGTTAGAACCTTTATTTTTATATGATTTTGAGCTACAAACCTATTTTCACATCCAAATGTTAAGTTTGAAAATTATATTTGATTTAATTTGGACTATATTATAATGTTAAAAATGGTTTTCAAATATTATTAATTTTAAACCCTAAAGCTCTCCTCCAATATACTTTGTATTATGACTTGATTCAGGAGTGGATGGCACAATGAATGTATTGTTTTCTAAATAATAAATTGAGTATTTACACTAATGCTGATAAACAAGACAAGCGAAGAGATTATTATGAAGGGGCGTTGGAATGCATCCTAGTGAAGCTTTGACATGAGCTGATCACTCGAGCACTTAGTTCAATAAAAAATATGAAGATGTCTGAATGAAGTAATAGTAACTTATTATTCAAATGTTCTCCTGAGATAGTGAGCCATTTTAACATGTATTACAATATGAGTATTATTTTCATTTAAGTTAAAATTTTGATCGTATTTTTTAATAAAAAAAATATTGGATATATTCTTCCATGTAAAATTATTACGAAACATGTGAGGTCAAATTTTATTTTTACGTAAAACTTTATAGCTTTGTAACTTGCAAAAACTTTTAAGTTTTGATACATAAGCTTTATGGTGGATAATTTCAAAAATTTAAGAGATTAAAAAAAAAAAAATTTGAATGTGAATTTCATATTTAATCTTTCATTTTTATTTCTATTTGTTCATTAACTATATTTTCTCCAAACATTATATGACTTTACAAATCTCATGAAGTAAAAATAGCTTTAATGAAAGCTTTAGAAATCCATGTGCACTTTAGGACGATTTTTAGGGGATGTTTGATGACTCTTAGAGCTCTTTAACTAATCTTGAACTTACTAACTTGCGAATTCAATTATCCCTTATATTATTATAACAACATATTCTTAAGATTAGTAAACATAGTTTGGCTAGGTAGGTAAACCCTTAGTTTCATAACATAGGCAATAGATATTATAACTATATATTTCTAAGATTTTAAACATTATCACTTGATTGTCGCAATCTATCATTTTATACATGATATGATAGATTGCTTATAAATGCTCGAGGATGTCATTATTTAATTACATTTTGATTATGGTGGACTATAATTTTCATCATTTGTGGTGGACTATAATTTATGAGCTTTAATTACATTTTGATTATGGTGGACTATAATTTTTATCATTTGATAATTTTCATCATTTGATTTTGATAAAAATTATGACTATTCTAGATTATGTCATAATTTATGAGTATTATAGATTATTATCATCATTTCCTTCACAAAAATTATAAATGTTTCATGATTCAATACTTATTGGGTTATTTTATATGTTCAAATGAATGCATGAATCCTTTAAGAAATCCTAAAAATAATCATTAGTGAAAGACCATCAATGCAACTTAAATTACTTTGCAGTTGTTATGTATAGTGCATTTTATCATCATTTCCTTCATATGTATAGCGCATTTTATAATAATCATTAGTAAAAAAAAATGAAATCAAATGAATGATAGCACAATTAATAGTCATTAATTATTATTGTTATACGAAAATGAAAAAAATGACAAATATATAGAAATTAGTTTGGTCGTACTAATGATGAATCATTCGTTTGCACACGTGCCTAATCATCCCTGTGCATTCCCGTTCCGGCTACGAATCCAAATGGCCGATTATAAAACTGGTTTACCCCGGCCGGCTTTTCCCCTCGAAATTTCTCTCTCCTCAGACCAGGTAAAGGGAAGGAGAGGAGAGCGGAGCGAGAGAGAGGAGGGAGGGACTAGGGCGATCTAAGAACCCGGTGGGTTTTTAGAACCCTAGCCTTCTCCTGCTAACTGCTGTCATTTCTTCCGTCGGCATCGAACCCGTGAACGAGGAGAACAGCAAGCTTTCCGAGCTCAGAGGCTCTGATCTGCTTGATCTTCTCTTTTGTGTCAACTGAGGTAAAAGAAAAGCCAACATACTGTCCAAGTTTTTTATCGATGTACCCAAGCTTCGATTTCATTTTCCTTGCTGCATTAGTTGGTTTGCATTGGGACTATTGGTTACTACTTCACTATTTAGATCGTTATTACACATTCATTTGGCTACTGTTTTCTTATTATTTTTCAGAAATGCTGTGGTGGAAAGTTGATATTGATAACCAAATCTGCTCAACTGTGGAAAAAGTAATAGTTACTGTTTTAATTTTCCAAAAAGGGAATCTATAATGCTTGGGAACTTCTTATTTGGAGAGAGAGAGAGGGGGGAGGGGAGGGGAGGGAAGATAGAAGAAAATTTTAGGATTTGATTTACTCATATCATAATATAGTTCATTAACCATGCAAAATTTAAGAGAGTAAATTATTAAACAAACAAACTAAATCCTCAGCACATGTACAAATTTAAGCAATACCTAAGCATGAGCTGCATGACAAGCTAAAGCTATTTGGTTCTGATAAAAAGGTAGCAATGAAGAGGAGGAAAGAAGGGAAGAGAAAAGCAAAAATCAATTAGGGTTTATTTAGGTAGCTTTGTCACTTTTTTGCTTTTTAGAATCATATATTTTAGCGTGTGATAACCATAAGAAAGTTGCAAGCTATCAAGTTTTTTCACCAAAAAAAAGACAATTACTTTGAAAAAAGTCACTTTTCTTGCAATAACGCTATGTCACCAATACAATACTTTACATTTCCCTCAAACAAGCCTAAGATAAAATTTAACTTCATGAATACTTCTTCGTTGTGATGTTCATTCTCCAAATACAAGAAAGTTTTATCTTCACAACGTAATCTATAGGAGCTCAACTAAAGCACAATTTCTTCTTTCTTTCATTATACTTTCAAAATACCAAATGAACTCCTATTTGTCTGCTCACGCAGAAAATTTCAACCATTACAAATTAAAAATTAAATGAAAGGAGAGCGAAAGGGGTTGTCGAGCAGATTAGGGTAGGGAGGTGAATGTGTTGCTTTAAATGGAAGTTAAGACTGTGATATACTTTAAATGGAGGGACAAATTTAGAATATTTATTAACTGGTAGTTGGAAAAGTAAAAATAAAGGAAATTTTCAAGGCTAGAGAATGGCAGGCTAGTTGGCCAAATACTTGGTTATGACAGAGAGCAATAATTCAACCCATAACTGAGAGTTATGACAGAGAGCAATAATTCAACCCATAACTGAAAATGTGACCCAACAGGGCATGTCACGACTTATGATGCAATTTTTACAAAACAAAACAAATAAATAAAATCATTAGCATGTTTTATGATAACTCTCTACATAACGATGGTCCAAGTTACATTAATATGGATTTAAGTCTCAATGACACTATGAAGAAGATGATAGGGGATAGATAAATGATGCCTTGTGTTAACATTCTCAAATTTCAAACAACTGGAATTTGATGAATTCAAGTTTTGATATCACAAGGCATCTATATGCACAACTATTTTAGCTCTTCCAATGAATAAGTGGTTGAGAGGTGGACTCCTTTCCATCAAACAAGGTGTTTTGTACTCCACCCTAAACTGTGGAAATGATGTAATCATCTAAGATTTGTTCTGGCACTAGTGATTTCCAATGTCGAGTCAATGGCAGTGGTGTTTATGCTTTGAACTCAATGTTCATTTCCATCAAACAAGGTATTTTGAACTCCACCCTTAATTGTGGAGATGATGCAATCAACCAAGATTTGTTCTGGCACTTGTGATCTCAAATGTCGAGTCAATGGCAGTAGTGTACATGCTTTGAACTTGGTGCTCATGTCCATTGGCATTGTAGTTGGAACGAGATGGAGACAATACCTCATATATAAATAAGTGTGGTATTAGGCACAGGCTATCATTATAGGGTTAAAATTGCATAATGAACACATGAGAAATACCAATATCCTTGGGTGTATCCAAATTTTAAGCAATCACACTTATCCCTATTAAAAGTTTGTACAATTTTAAGTTTATTGTTGATAAATTTTAAGGATATCATTTAGGATGAAGCCAACTAAAACATATATCCTTAAAAAACTCAATGTGTAGACTTGGAAATTTGGGCCCCATGTTGATTAATTCTCGACCAAAATATAAATTTGTCTAGTTAGAATAAGAGTGGTAGTTAAAATTAACCAGTCAAATTTAGTTAAGATCTTATGCTACACAAAATTGTTAGCATCTGGCTTAATGCATTTGTATCATTTTTTTTTATGGTCAGGGATTAGAGGTCAAACCTTTCCAATTTGAATCCTTCGCTTTGTTCTCAATCACTGTGCTATGAGTTCAAACGTGGTATCATTATTTTCAACATCATTTTTGGTTTAGAAATAAAGGTATATTTTAGAGAAATTGCATATTCCTAAATCTTTTTTTTCAATTATTTGTGGTCATTGTGACATGAGCAAAGCACAATTTCTTGAGGCAATATGTAACAACGAATAATGCAAAGCTTGTATCACATAATAAGACTCGCGATGATAGATGAAATAAGATTGGCAGGCTCCATTTAAGTTCTTACTAAACTATTTCATCAATGTCTTTTTTGTTCAAGTACTCCACCAATTCCAACCTCGCGGCATCATAGGATTACATTTTGAAGTCAAGAAACTTCAACAAAATAGGACTAATCATGCACTTTTTGATCTCCTCAAAGGAATGAGATATCACTTTGGTCTAGTTGAATTTACCTTTTTTGAGATATTGGGTGATAGGAACTATGGTGTTAAAGCCATGAATGTGTTATATAAAAGATGGCCAATCCATAGAAAATACCAAGTACTAACACCATAGGTAAAAGTTGGCACTTTGTAGTTTTTTATAGTGGGTTTTTAGGATAAGTGGAGATGACTTCGTTTAGAATAATGAAGAATTGGAAGTTTACATTAGAAGTCTTGAAAAATAATTTTTCATGTGGATGTTCAATTTCATGTGGCAAGGTATTTGGAAACCCCGCCTTAGATAGTTTTTTGTATCAACATGAGTTTTATTGTTGATTCAAGTATTATTAATATAGAGAAATGTAAAGGTTTTAGTGCTAATAAAATGCTTATGAAGGGTCAAATACGTGTCATAAAGTGCTTAAAGTTGCTTGAGATGATAGTTAAGCCAAATTGATATTTGACCGCTTGTAAAGATCATAATTTGTTTTAAAGGTAATCTTTCACTCAGTACCCTCTATCATTTGAGTTTGGTGATATCTGCTAGAAGATCAATCTTCAAGAAGATTATTACGCCTTTCATTATATCGAGTATATCATTGAACCAAGGGAAGGGGAGCCTATACTTGAATATGGTTTAACTATTGTCTCAGTTTTCTATTTAGACATGCCGGTTTTCCTCGTTCTTTGAGGTTAAGAAGGGCTGGAATAAGACACATTAGCTAACTCTTTTGAATGTACTCCTTGCATATCAAATCAGTCGACTTGCTGTTGGGTATAACATGCTAAATAGGGTTTTTTTATTTGATGAAAGTAGGGATAATCTAGGTGCCAAGTCAATGGCATGTTAGATGCTAGCAAGAGTTGCTAGCCCATCTAGTTCTTCAGGTCACAAACCTTGAAACTCGGAAAGGATTAAACCAATCTCAAGTGACGTGGGTGAATATGGAACTCATTAGAACAACGCTTTTTTTTATTTGGAAAACAAACGAGAGTGAAAATAACAATTTTTCAATGATACACTTGCTCATTGGACCAAAATATGAAGATGGCTTTGTTTACGAGGTCAAATAACTTTTTATGTTTACCAATGAAAACTCTTTTGATTTGACTATCATAGCAATTTTCTTGCCCTTTAAACTTGAAAGCACAAGCGTTGGATTAGCTGAAATTAGTAACATCTATGTTGTATAACTAATTTATACCAAGGCATCTGAGCTACACTCATGAGCGGGCACAACAAATATAATCATAGAAGTTAATTGTAGAGTGACAATGCAATAGTGGACTGTCAAACTAAACGGTCTTAAAGGTTGAGGCTGTGGCTTAATAATGAGCTTTATCTTAGACAAGGTGGAAGTCGCTACGACATTAATGTAGCTATTGATACCAATTATGAGTTTGCATGACTTTTCGTGAATTTTGAAGTAGTTGTGAAAAATATTTAGTGCGATTCTAATTAGTGGTGGCCTGTGGTGAAACCAAGCCACATTGCGCATCAGCTAAAGATGAATAATCCTGCGCTTCCTCAACATCATTGCGTCATCATGTTGAACACATTCAATTGTATCATCCTTTTGCCCTTATTGTTGTTCATTAGTCTAGTATGTTGGAGGCTTATAAAAGGATTTTATCTTGCATATTGGACAGTTTTACCACATGTTAAATGAGCGATACTGTAGGTTTTGGAGCTTGAATTTTCATTCATAATCTTTCATTTAAAATCTGTGCTTCTCTTGGGAGTTGATAAGGTATAATGGGTTGAATTTTGTGAAGAGCTATTTGCAAATGGAGTAAGAAATTTCCATTGTGGTATAGGGTGAAGTTATTGCTCCGTTCGAATGACTCATTGGAATGCATCGTGAAGGGCATGAACCTCATAAATGAGCAATTCTCGATAAATGTTGTAATGATAACCATATCAAAATCTAGAAAAAATTACCTTGAGATATTATTCCATGTCACACTTAATCAGAAGTTAGTTGAAGAGGGTTTTATGATAAGCTACATACATAGAACCTTGTTTACGGGTGGTTAATTCATCTAATAATTGGCCATGAGAGGCTTGTGGTAGATACTTCTATTTAAGGGTTTCTTTTATTTTGGCCTATGATTTAAATGGGGTTTTCTAAATCGGTTAAATTGACATTCCTTGTTGATAAAAATGGTGTTGGCACATTTAATTAATTTCATGCAGTCATTTCTAACTAATCGATCTTCAAACATGGTTATATTGGTAAAGTACTAATCCATATTAGTGAACCAATTGGGAAAGACTTTAGGATCCATAAGACTACAAAGTAGGTGGATTGATCTTGACCCCTACGATGATATCATTTTAAGATCTACCCTCTTGACGCATGGATAAGGATTCTATCTTATGTAGGGGAAACATAGTATGGTTTGGATTCTCTTAGAGGCTCCTCAAAATGTTGAAAATAATGCTGTCAAGGTAAAGGGCAAGATTGATAAGCATAACACCTAATCATATGCCTTTTGGCCTATAGAGGAGGTTGTTTAGTATTCTAGAAATTGTGATTTTGATTCTAAACAAATGAATTAGTTTTCAAACATGTGAACAGATTCAGCCAACAGGTTGGCATGACAGTTCAACTTTATTTGATAATGATAAAAAATCACAATAAATAAGGGAAAGGAAGTGAAAAAGAAAGTAACAATAAAAGGAAAATTAACTTCACGAACAATCAATCATTCCTTTTGAATTTGATTCTCCAAGCACAAATCCTCCTTGCAGAGTGAACAACACAAGCACAAGCGGAGCACAATTTCTTTCTTTCATTCAGCATGCTTTTAATACTCCTATTTACAGACTCAGAATAGGAATATCAATCATAACATAATCTAAATGAAAAGGGAGAGGAAGGGTTAGTTGACTGCATTAAATAGGGGAAGAGGGGAAGTCAATTTGTTGCTTTAAATGGACAGGGAAGTCCAGGAGTTGCTTCAAATTGAAGTCTAGAAGATGCTTTAATTGGTGGTGGAAAAATCTAAATGAATGAAATTTTGAAGTCTGAGAGAAAGGGAGGCTAGATGACTGAGCAGGTGGAGATGGCGAGGGCCTAATAACCGACTCATAACCAAAAAAGACATAACAATGGACATGCAACATCATGAACTATCACCCAATTCGACACGATAACACAAACATATAAAATCCTCACCGTACATTATAATAACTAGGAAGATTTACATGCATACCACTCAATTTCTATTTATTTACATATCTAACACCTAAGCTTTACTTTTTACATACATGCCACCTTACCTATGCATGAAATTGTGCACTTCACTTTTTAAAAGTTAAAATGCTGGTAGTTTTGATGTGATTTGAAAGATTTGGTTGGTAAGAATGTTAGGTGAAGTTTAGGTGTTATATGTAAATACTTAGGAATTGGGTGGTATGTATGTAAATGCCCCTAATAACTATTAAATACACAAAGAAGATACTTGGCGCAATCAATCTATACTCAAAGCTCAACAACATGATGATGAACTTGGATCATTGATGCTCTGCGTCATGATTTCGTAGTTCTTTATGGCAATTAGCTGTCATAAAGTATTCAATTTGATTGTTAACCTTTTTAATTCCACTCATGGCGTGCATACCGTAGAATATATCTTTTCCAGAATAACATGATTTTTCCAAAGGTTCTCATTATTTTGTTAACTCTGCCAATTATCCTAAATGCTATGATCATTCTTGTTCTTGTATAGGGTTGTGTCAAATATTTTATTGTCATGCAGATAAGGCAAATATCGATTAGAAAATATAACCTTTGAAGCGATAGAGTAATTGCTTTTGCACATTGCAGTCTAACTTAAGCCTATGTTCTAAAGGATTATGATAATGCATTCATATTTCTTTTTTTTCTTTTTTTTTGTAATAAATAGACAAACAATGATGATTGTTTCCTTCCATATGTACAGTGAAAAGGAATAGAAAATGGTTCTATGGGTTTTTGGGTATGGTTCACTGGTGTGGAATCCAGGTTTTCAATTTGATGAGAAGGTTATAGGCTTCATAAAGGACTATAGGCGTGTATTTGACCTTGGTAAGATATAGATTGTCTGAAGTTTGCTTGTGTTGCCTTTTTAGCTTGGTCGTTTTAGATGAATGATGCTATTTTTTGTCTTGGCAGCATGTATAGACCACAGAGGCACACCAGAGAATCCAGCGAGAACCTGTACTTTAGAGGCCAATAAAGGAGCAATTTGTGTAAGAAATTTCGATCTTTTTCTTTGTTATACATGAACAAAATTTAGCTTATATTTGTATGAATCTATGAATTAAATGATGTAATTTTGTCCTCACAATAAGTTCATGTTCTGACGAGCTGGAGATCTCCAAAGAAAAAAAAAAAAATTGTATTACGAATTGTGTTACGGATTTTATGATTTATGAGTTTAATCCGCATAGTTCCTATAATTCTAGAGTTGCAAATTTCAGTTTGTTGATTTTTTTTATTTGTTTTTTTGGCTTTTTTTATATGCCAGAGTTATATGTCCCGATGATAATCCTTCAGAATTTTTTTGGATATCCGGAGTTACATGTCCTAATTCTATGATTTCTCTTTTGTTTGCATGCAACATTTGGGGTTGTAGACAACTTTTAGAGAATCACTGAAATTCTCCTCATACTTATATTATATGCACGTACTAGAGATGTTATATGGATGAGGGTTGAGCCACGAGTAAGTCTTGAAAAACCAAGTTGATCGTGATAAATGTGAAAGGCATTATATCTGTATATAATAGGAATAGGAAAGGTAGTGTGGGAAATGGTTACATCATGGATGTTAGGAGTAACACTTATGCGCTGATAAGATAAATTGATATATTATGAAAAGTTTAGGAAGGAAAAAAAAGTGATTGAGATTATATGGCTTGAACCTGGGTAGCATGATTTTTGCACAGTGGAATTAATTTCTCCTGCAGTATGATTTGTAAAGGCGTCCCAAAGAGTTGGTAAAGGCTAATTGTGGTGTTGATGATCTTGAATCTTATATTTTTTTATTCTTGGATTTTTTGTATCTTACGTCATACTGGACTACAATCTGAATATGAATTTTAGTTTGTAAAGCAAAATCATATGAAATAATTTTTCTGGGAACAATTCTCTGCTATTATGACAGTGGGGTGCTGCCTATTGTGTTAAAGGAGGCTCAGAGAAAGAAAAACTAGCAATGCAGGTATGATCGTTGATCTAAGCTCTGCTGATCTCTCATATAATATTTTTACGATTTAATCATTTAACCTCTAAATATTTCAGTATTTGGAGAGAAGGGAATGCGAATATGACAAAATAGCATCCGTAGACTTCTACAAGGTTTTTTTGAGTTTATTTATGTTACTTGCAGATAGTTATTATATTCTTAAAGCCGTTGCTTGATCCTTATTCGCCTGCTTTTTCAGGAAGGAAACCTTGAGGATCCAGCTATTACTAATATACTAGTGTATGAATCATTTCTTCGCTTTCATCAAGTGTTCTCATTTTGGTTTTGCATTTCTTGGAATTACAAAAACTTAATTATGTTTCCTATTTTTCTTTTATTTATGTAAGTGTAAAGTGTGGAAATAGTCCCCTGACTATTTAATGCGGTCATTTTAGTTTCGGAGATTTCAAAAGTGTCAAATTAGTCCATAGACTATTTTAAAATGGGCTAAAATAGACATCAGGGAGGACTATATTAGCTCCCATTTTAAAAGAGTATGGGGGGACTAAATTGACTATTTTGGGACTAAAATGACTCACTACAAAGAGTCAGGGGATCATTTTGACCCTTATCTTGTTTATGTGCAACTAATATGCAATTGCTCTATTACACAGATTCATTTCTACTCCAGATATAGTGGCTAATCGGTACTATCTAGGCCCAGCACCTTTGGAGGAAATGGCAAGGTGAGGAACAAGTTCTAAACTTTTTTTTTCCCGCATTTTTCTGTTGTGTTTACTCAAGTAAGTGTTTCATATTTCAGGCAGATTGCAACTGCAACCGGTCCTTGTGGGAATAATAGGGATTACCTGTTTTCAATGGAGAAGGCATTGTTCGATATAGGTAACAAGTTGATCACAACTTCCTATTCAAAAATTGGATTTTATAAGCTTTTGTTAGACAAATTGTTTGATATATAGGGCTCTATTTGTTACTTGTGATTTGAGAGCATGTTTTTAGAAAAAAAGGAAAGAATTTTGTTCTCACTTGTTTCATGCGTGGAGCTTAAAACTAATGTTAGTTTCCAATAGCATTCAATTGGTGAAGTGTAGCAATTTTCATTGGTTTCTAAATCGTGTTTTCTATCTACAAACAGCAAAATGCTCCTAGATTAATATTTGGGTATTAGCAGTTTAAATCATTTAGCATTGATTCATACAACATAATCTCTCTAATTGTATTGATATAAAATTTATCTACAAGTCTTTGTGATATTCTTATACTCCTCCATTTTAACAAACCGATGTTAACTCAATTAAATAAAATAGGGTTACTTACATACCTACCACACAATTCTTTTGTATTTACATATCTAGCACCTAAACATTAAACATTCATATATTCATATTTACATGCATAACACTCAAATCCTTAACATCACATTTAAATAACCACAATTACTATCTTTTCAAAAGTGACATACACCTTTTCATGCATATGTATATGCACCAATGTATTATAAGTGTAAATATCAAACTTTGGGTTTTACACATATAAATACATAAGAATTGTGTGGTATGTATGTAAATCACCCAATAAAACAACATAAATCATAAAAAAACGTAATCCAAAAAAATCATTTCCATGAACAAAAGCAACACTCTCCTAATAATTAACGAATTTTTGGCTGGAATGAATGCAGGGCATGAAGACGATTATATTATACTTCTGGCCAACGAGGTGAGGAAGGTGCTGAGTCACCTGAGGGCAGTAATAACCCATGTTGCAATGATAGATCAGCTTCCGTTGAGGGGCCTCACTCCCCTCCTGGAGACTACTCTCGTGCATTCGGGGTAATGTATCCATCTGTGCAGGAGTTCTACTCTCTTTGATTTCAGATAATCCCAACAAAAACCATATTCCTTCTGAGTTCTCTTATCCTTTTATTGCTAATCATTTGAATTTTCTTTTTTATGTAGAATTATCTTACATCAACTCTCAGATTTTCTTATCATAAGCTTTTGGCTTGATTCCTGAATGATTTTGTTAGTTGTGCTGCTTCTTCTAATCATTTATCTTTAGGGATATATACATAAAGATCCCACCGAAACATTGATATCTACAAATTAACCATCCAGATGATTTTTTTTTTGAACCACCGAACCGATGTATTTATGCGTGCAAATGATTGAGAATTTGATAAAAATGAAAGACATGGGTTGGGTTTCTAGAATTTGAAAATTTGATGAAAGAGGGTGGTTGATTTGTAAATAACAAGTTTCAGGTGGTCTCTATGTAATTGCCCCATTTTTTTGCCATCGTTTTTATTATAATATTTATATGCTAATTATTTAATCCTAATTTTGACACCAAGTTCCTAATCTTATAAAAATCGGTAGATACAAGCTTGGAAATGTCATATTGGGTTTCTTCAATTGCCCAGCAAATTGATTGAGACATTCACTGTGGAATTTATAGGCCTCAATTGTTAGGAGGCTTTTGATTTTATTTATTTATTTATTTATTTATTTTTAGTTGTGGGCATATAATATCAATCAAATATGATTTTTTCATGTCTTTGCTCAAGAGGCATTTACATACACAATCACATAATTCTTATTTATTTGCATATCTACCGCCTAAACATTGTTATTTTACATGCATATCATTCAAATCTTTAATATTATATCTTTCTAAAATTGAAATGTTCTTTTTCATATTAGATGTGTAAATATATAAGATTTGTGGGGCTTGCATTTATATTTTCCTTTTATTTGCTAGAAAATCAAATTTGCATGGTTTGTTAAAAGCATCACTTCGAGTTTGAAGCCCTAATATAGAATCTATCTGCTACCTTTATTCATCCAAAATGATGCATATTACACGCTCTATGTAAGTCCATATAATTAGGAATTAGGAACATAAATTGAATTAGTTAAAATCATCAATATCTAAATAAATAATTAATTAACATCTTTAACTAAATTAATTAATTATTTTCTTTTGAGAGGCGCAGTCTAACTATTTAAAAAACACCCTTTATTTATTTATTATAATTTAATAAAATCAATTGTGCAAACATTTTTTTTAATTTAATTATTTATCATATAATTAAATTTATGATAAATTTTAATACAAATAAAATAATTAAAACCACTTATCACTTAACTCATTTCTTGTCGCAGGATTAATGAAGCTTTGTCTCATACTTGAATGCTATCTTATACTTTAGGAACATGACAACTGTGACTACGTGGATTGCGATCATGAATCATCACATGTTAACACATCAATAATGTCTAAATAATTCGCACTACAGAGACGAAAATCATATTCGGTTAATACTATTGATGGACAAATTTGTAATTTTAATATTTTAGCTGTTAATCAAAGCTGAAACTGCTATCTATCAGTATTGTTGAATCCTAACTGGGAGGAGAAGGATACAGAGAGAGAGTTCGTAGACCAATTCGTGTAGTGAAATCGGTAGAAAAGTTCATTTAGTCATTTTTTTTGTCTTAATTATATAGCTATATTTGTGCGATTACAGAAACGAGTGAATGATTAAGGAAACCGTTCTTAAGACGATTAATTATGTGGATTTTATACCAAATATGTATGACAGTTTGAATTTGGAAATGTCGGTTACCGGCCAGTCGACTCACTTGCGTTCGACAGACTGAGATGACCGGCGATTAATTATGTGGATTTTATACCAAATATGTATGATAGTTTGAATTTGGAAATGTTGGTTACCGGCCAGTCGACTCACTTGGGTTCGACAGACTGAGATGACCGGTCCGATCAACGATTGTGTCTGTTAAAGTAAAAACCGGTTGGTCGACTGGTTGCGATCGAACGCTTTTGTAAGTAGCCTCTAGGTAGCTGAGGTTGCAGCCTGCAGGCGTGGTGCGTCAGTTGAGTGGCTCGTCATAGTATGTCGGTTCATTTCGACCGAGCAATTAGTTAATTAGATGAACGATTCAGATCATGCTCTTTTGGTTAGACGTCTCAATCAACAGTTCTAATATGTACAAGTATATTATCCACTTTTTGTGTGGAATGACCTGGTGATTTTGCATCATTATGGTACAATTTTTAAGACTGAGGATGGTTGAAAGTTTTTTAGTGAAAGACTTTCTATTTAAACAACATATATAAAATTGAACTCAGACGTGGGATTAAAATATAAAGGATAAGGTAACTTGTTGCCCTCTTTTATGATTTTTTTTTAATTTTTTTATTTATTATAATTTATTTATTAAGATAACGAATATCTGTAATATATTCCTATCTACAGATTGATTACCCGCATACTTTTTTATTTTGTTTAATATTTTTTAATTAAAATACTATTTTTTGTAGATTAATTTAATTATAATAAACGGAAAGAAGTTTTGGGCCTTATTATGATTTATGAGATATATTATAAACATTTTTATTTTTTAATTATTTTTTTAATAATATTAATAATGATTTAAATTTAAAATTAATTAAATTATTTTTGTATAAATTAAATCATATTTTTAGTTATAATTAATATTAATTTTTAAATCAATATCAAGCTTTAATTGATCATTTTAATGAACATATTCATGAATTTTAATGAATATTGTTAAGGATAGTAAATAGATCAAACAATAGTGTGCCAGTGTATGTTCATTTAATAATCAAATATTTAAAGAATTGTCTACTTTTTTTTATTTTGTTTTGTTTGAAATTTTGAGTTAAAATTTATTTTAATCAAAATATAAAATTTAATTGTAATTTTTTGTATTAAGTTTATGTAAAAATAAATTCTAACAGCTCTGAAGTTCTTAATGTTCATTTAGTTAAGGCATCTAAAACAGAAAATTTTTTATTTTGTTAAAATAAAAATACAAATTATCATAATTTTTATTTAATATCTTTATAATATAAAGTTTAATTGATTTTACATCTTGTGTAGTTATATTTTATTAAAAAAATGTTGAGGGTATTTTTGAAATTAAAATTTCTGCCCTAAAAAATAAAAACATCTTTGTCATTTCGTGGAGTGCCTAACGCGCGTCGATCATAGACACAAATGTGCGACACATTAGACACGTGTGTTTGATAAAAAAATATAAAAAAAAAGTTATATATGCTTATCCTTAAGAAATAAATTTAAATTTATAAAATCCTTTCAAAATACATAATAATATGATAGATTTTGATGACTTATATTGTATCAAATAGCTTATGCTAATTATTTATATATATTATTTCATAAAATAATTAATAATCATATTTATTTTTTTACTATATTATAATTATTTATTATTTTTATTAAACTTGGTTTTTTTTTCATAACTTTTTTTTATTTTTTCTGCTAATATAAATATATAATAAGCATTTATATTTTAAAATGTTATATATATATGTATATATATATATATATAATCCTTACCCCTAAAAAATACTTTTCCCCGTAGGCAATTGCGGCACTGATAAGGAGGAGATAAGTGGCTGCCTGATCGCCACCTCCATGACCACCATCTCCGCCACCGCGGCTGCGCCATCGTTGCCTCTCCACAACGTTTTTGTTTACGGCAGCCTTCTCGCCGACGAGGTCGTCAGTAAGCTTTTAAGCCGCGTCCCGCCATGTACGCCCGCCATCCTCAATGGCTAGTGAGTATCATCTCTCTCTCTCTCTCTCTCACTCACTTCTTACTTCTCTACGCTTCCCTCAGAAGGCTTTCAGATGACTGATTGCGATTCTCCGATCGATATTATTCCAAATTTATCTTCCAAATCCTCTGCAATTACAGTAAATGAGTAGTTTGTTAGCTTTTCTACTTGTCTATAGTTGTTGACCTAGACGACCATTTTGCAGCCACAGGTATAATGTAAAGGGGCGTGTTTATCCAGCAATATTGCCAGCAGAAAGGAAGAAAGTCATAGGAAGGGTTAGTGATGAATCCATCTCTTGGTTATATTTTGATATCAATGTGTGTTTCATTGCATTGTACTTTTTAACTTGTTATATTTTTAGTTTAAAACATGCAGTGTAATTGGAATCTTTTAAATGCATGTGGTGCGTTGTTTTAATGTGCGACAAATGGTTCATGCAATGTATATAGGGTTGGTGATTAGGACATAAGCTCAGCATTCACTTGATAGAATTTAAAATTGTTTGGAAGTGAAGTAAATTTGATTTGACTCTAGGGTGTAGATCGGATTCTTTATCAATAGGTGAATGGTCAATCAAATATGATAATGTGGATGGAGTTGCCACTGTTAAAGGTGGTTGTTGTCTTAAAGATACATCTTTACTGGGTTAGTAGTTGGTATATGAGCTTTTGAAGGGATAGGAACATTTTTGTAGATGGCTTAAAGGAAGAGGAGGGAGAGAAGAGACTTTATGTCTAATGACAACTAATATTGGCCAGAGTGTATGAGTGTCGGGTTAGATGATCATGTCATCTGTCGAGTTAGATGATCATGTCATCTGTATCCAACCTGATGCTCATACTCTTTGTGAACAATATTGCTTTTGGTCCTTTGGAGTTAGAGGAACATGCAGAGAAGATGAATTGAATTATCAATAATAATGATAGTTGGTAGCGATGACATGCTGGAGAAACATAGTTCACGATTACTTGGTCTAAAACTCAGGATGCATCTAAATGAAGAAACAACATGAGAGGTTGTGGGAGATATCTGCGATTGTTGAGGTAGTTCATCATAATTTTTTTAATAAATACTGATTGAAATGATGGTGAAAATAATGCGAGTAGATATGTTGTACTTAGACTGGTTGTGAAAGCATGCTAAGTAATAGGTGTGATTAAATTTTTCCTAGCAACATTGAAGAGACTCACTTCCCCAACCCCCCTTGCTCTTAGGCTCTGTTTGGCGCAACTGCAGCTTCTCAGCTTAGCGGCAGCTGCACTGCCCCAGGAAGCTGCTGTGAGGAAGCTGCTGCGGTAAAGCTGACTGTCCTTCTCAGCTTAGCGGCAGCTGCACTGCCCCAGGAAACTGCTGTGAGGAAGCTGCTGTGAGGAAGCTGCTGCGGTAAAACCGACTGTACTGTTTGAGACAGCTGCATGAAAACAGTTGTAAGGTAGCTATTTATGCAGAAATGATCATTTTGCCTCTATTTTGTAATGTTGTGCTTAACAGAATTGTGATAGTCATAAATTTAATACTTTTAAGATAACAATTCACTTAAAAACAGTAAGAATTGCAAATGCATACTTCACTTCATAGTGAGTATCAATAGTGCAAAAAAAAAGTCTAAAACTATTAAATAGCAACTAATAAGATGATTATATTAATTTTAACGTTCAAATGGTGAGAAATGAATTAAGTTTCCATCAAATCATACAAGACTCTTTGAAGGAAACTCTTTGGAGGATTTATTTGATTTGCAATGTTGTCATTATATGAAAGGATAATAAAATCACAGTTATTGGGATTTATCCAATAGCAAGTATAAATAAATGCTCAATACGGCTAAGGCATAACCTGAAGAACAATATTAACATTACTATACCTACATAACAGAAGGTTTAGGTGAAAATTTAATATCCAGAACACTGCTGCAAATCAAGCAAGTTTAATATTAGGAATCAGATTATCAGAGCACTGCTGCAAATCAGGAAACATAATATTCAGAGCACTGCTGCAAATCAAGCCAAAATAGCCAAACAAAGCATTTCCAAAAACAAATCTAAAAGAAACTACCAACCTTGTTAGAATTAGGAATCAGATTCTGCAACACTCTCATCTTCTCAGTTATTTTACTCCTCCTCTGACAACGAAGCATGAAGCTCAAAAAATTAAAGAAAACCAAAAACAGGAAACCAACAAACAAAACTGCCACCTTTTCAGACAAATTGTGAACTTCAGCTGCTCTGCTCCTCTTCGAACCAGAACCGCTATGAGTCGACGCCACTGGCTTCGCTCCCTCCCCCACCACCTAGTAGCACATCAAACGTAAGCAGATCCCAACAACTAGTCCACCAAAAACATCAGGCGGAAGAAGAAGGCGCGGGGTCGGGAAGAAGAAGGCGCGGGGTCGTGAACACTAGGCGAGATGACGAGACAACGCGGGAACAACAGGCGAAACGCTAGGGCAGAGGGCTTGTTTGCGCCAAAAACGGGGCCAATGTGGAACATTAGCGAGGCAAAAGCTGGGCCGCGGGGTTGATCCCGCGGCCGGCTTTCTATCCGCTTTAGCTTCCTTTGGCCGCAAAGTTGAGAGCCAAACGGGAAAAGTTCACGGTTGGGGCCGCGCCGCATGAAAAAAATGCCCCAAATGGAGCCTTAGAGATAGTAGAGGCCAGCTTATTGGGATTTGAATTGTGAGAAGTGGATGGTTTAGTGAAGCAAAGAGCTCATGAAAATGCGATCACAATTTTAGGAATTGTGGGGTAACTTTAGCTGAGATTGCATATTCTACGGGGAAGTATGCAAAGAGGATATAAATTTGGAAATAAAAACTTTTTTCCTTCTATTTATGCTAAATAATTTGGTTAGTAGTTAAGGGGTGGTACTGAAGTAACTCATTTGATTTGCCTTTCAAAGTTCTATATCATTCCTTGTTTTGCATTTTGTTTTATTTGTTGAGGTGGGTAGGTCTTAAAGTAAAGGGTGTAAACATGTGATCAATCACTTTTCTGGATATGGAATGGAGTAAATTACACATATCTCTTTAACTAAGTCTCCAAACCTGACAATTTAGACAGTTGAAGGTTCACGACTATTGAGTAACCATGAAAGAACAATGTAGTTGAACGCCCGTCATCTGGAAAACTTAATCTTACTTCTTAGATAAAGTAGACACCTCATGTTGATTCAGTATTTCATGAAGACAAATAAGGAGGTGATAATCGATACCATAGAATTTATTTACGGTAATGGTAGTGTTGGAGATTTTTTGAGTCATTAAGAGGCAATTGAAGCTATAGCATTATGTGGGAGAGTCCTAAAAGTTGATAGTTAACTCAATTCATTCAGAAGGAGAGAATTAGGAAGTGCTTATTCCCTTTTTTTATGATTGAGCATGTTGAGAAATTAGGGCGAAGAAAAATAAGAATCAACACAAATCCAGAAGGACACACAGATTTACGTGGTTCGTCAAAGATGCCTACATCCTCTGGAGTAGAGCAGCGACTTCCTTTTCAATATTCAGAAAAGAGTACAAAATACAAGATTCAGAATCTCAGAATCTCACAGACTCACTTAGGGTTACAAACATGATCTCGCGACAGAAGGATTTCAGATTCGTGACAGTTTGGACTCGCGGTAGAGGAGTTCGAAGGCTTTCATGATTCGTGTGAACAGACGAAGAGGAGGTTGCGATAGGTAGCACTTCGGCGAATTCGGCGGCTTGCGAGCAGGTTTCGGAAGCCGACTAATCGCGACAGACAGGAAGAGGTTTTTGCGAATCGTGGGAAGAGGAGTTTGCTCGTGGCACAAAGGTGTGACAGGTTACGCGTGAGGCTTCTCACGATCGGTTCTGCGAAAGACAGAGGTGTTCGAGTGGCGGAGAAACAGAATTGGAAGGGCGGACGCGGAAAAGGAAAGTCCCCTGAAAAGGAAACTCATGCGGAAAAGGAAAAACCGCGGAAAAGGAAATTTAGCTTGAAGATATTCCAGGATTCAGGAAAAGCAAGGAAATGGAATCATCTGCTGCTGCACTCGGGAAAGTGCTGCACTCGGGAAATGAAAGATTTTTTCTTGATGAAAAGTGGAGGCGGAGCTTTTCTGGAAGGCGAATCTTTTCTGGAAGGAAAAATGAGTTTTTCTAGAAAGCAGATGCAGAGCTTTTCTTGGAAGTTTAAGAAAAAAGATTTCTGGGAAGATTTAGTTAAGGAAAAGTTCTTTTTCTAGGGAACTTAATTAAAGAAATTTTAATTAAGAGATTATTTAAAAAGATTTCTGGTATGGTAGCCCAACCCACATTGGTGCATAAGAAACTCCATGATATATTTCTCCTAAGGTGCTAGATATTCGTCAAGGTGGAGATTTGCTAGGTATGACTCATAATACCAGAATTTGGAGTCTCTTGGAATGAAGAGATGTCTCTTGGAATTGAAGAGGAGTGTCTCTTGAATTCAAGAGAGACACTTCTCTTCAATTCTAAGAGACATCTCTTCATTCGAAGAGACTCCAAATTTCGGTATTATGAGTCATACCTAACAGAGCATTATTGAGGGTATCAAATGACTATGAAAGAAGGCAAAAAGCACATGTGTGGGCCTTGAGGAGCGTCGTAGCGGTTCTGAGCAAGAACAAGAGCACAAGGGCATGCGTGCGTTGCAGAAGAATGTGAATGTGAGAATATGCATGGGATTGCGGAAGAGCACAAGTGTCGGAGTGGGGGTACGGGAGTTATGTGTGCTATGAATGTGGGTTGTGGACACAAGATCGACAAGGATATTGATAGCTTGGACCCAGGAGGCTTTGATCGGGAGATCTGGTGTAGTAGGTGGAATTAGGTAGTTGGGTGTGGGATCAGAGTAGGGTGAGGTTGCTTGTTGGGATTAGGATTACGGTTGGTGGGAGGATAGATTTGTGAGTGAGATGGGATGGCTTGGTTGGGTATTTGTTGATAGCGTGCCAAGGAGAAAAAGACTTTGTTTTATTCTCTAGAGATCTCCTCTATTATAACAAAGAAATGAGTGAGGCATTGTAAGATATATCCAAATAAACGTACACTAGTCATCAAATATAAAAAACTCTCCACCTTTAACACTTCAAATCATTTATTTACTAATCCACCATTCATTTTGAAACAGTTATATATAAGCTAAAATTACTTAGCCCGTAGGAGGTGCTAAGTGTTATTTAACCAATTAAATTTTTGAACTAACCCATACATTTACTTCTTGTAACTGCTCGCAATAAGTAGAATCATTATATTTGTTTTTACGGAGGGTTCCAGTTGCGATGGTCCCTTTGAAAGTTGCATCCATTAGATGAAATTCAGCGAATCTTTGCCCAAATATCCTTATAACAATCTTTTCTTGTTTGCTCTTTCTATTCCTGTCACTATAATGTCAGTTTCATAGCTCTGTTCAGCAGTGCCTCTTTTTCTCTGTTTGAATGTGTCAATTTATTACATTTTTTTTCTTACTCTTTTTTTAAATTGCTACTATTGTTTTTTTCCAGAATAATTCTACTTTGATTTTTTTATCTGCCTAACTTTTAGATTCATACAATGTGGCCCCCTTTTTATGCTCTTCTGCATATATCCTTACGAAAATCACAATGCTAAATAAATTGTCCTTTGGTAGTGTAATATGGACTTTCATTCAGGATTCTTACTAAGATGCATGACGTATGTACTCTATTTATTAGTCTGATTGGATGGAATTACGACTCAGATTAAGATTTAAGATTTGGTCACTCTGACTACTGAAACACTATTATGAGATTCTCTCAAATTAAATATCTAAATAGGCCCTATTTTGTAGCAGCTGCACCATTGCCACCTTGTCTAAATTATTTAGTGTATGATTTATAGACCGTGTTTTTTTTTCTTTGCTGATGTTTTCATTTTGTGTCCCAGTTTAACCAAATCCTTATGAACAATGTTATTTTCATGTTATTTTGGCTCTACATTTCATTGTTTTTCCGCGTCATCATGAAATGAATAGGATTATTCTGTAATGGAAAAAAAGAACTTTATTAATATTCTTTCAAAATACCGTGCTTTTGTTATCCACTCCAAGCTTGTAGGGTGGGAATTATTATGGCGTAAGGTAAGGATCAAATTTAATACTTCGGCAACAAATTTTGAGGCCTTCACCAACTAAATGAGTTGGCAGCCATCTATTAAAATATTGAGTTGATTATACATACTCCTTTAGATATTCAATATTACACTTAACTCCCATTTCTGAAACTCTAATTTATGGACTGATTTTAATATGCAATGTAATAATATATAACAATATTGAAGGCAAATCTAATTTCAAAAAAAAAAAAAACACTTGGGAGTTACTGTGCAATATATAATAGCAAGGGTGGAAAGTGTAATTTCAGAAAAATGTACGGCAAATATGTAATATTAACCATTTATAGGGGTTAAGTGTTATTAACCCTATAATATTTTATTTTTATTGAGTTGAGGAAGGCATTTTATAGATGTAATGTTAACCAAAACAGGTTGAAAGATTCTTTATTCTTTACTGCGGGTGCTGTATTCTATTAGATTCATATTTAACCGTGATGCATTTATATTTTATCTGTTACATATGGTTTTTAAGACTATTGTATCATAAACAAGGCTCTTTCTCCTTGCAGGTTATCATGGGAGTTACCAAGGCAGAGCTATGTGTTTTGGATACCTTTGAAGATGAGGAGTACAAGAGAAGCACAGTGGAGGTCTTTTTGAATGTAAGCATCAAGTCATTCCTGGATATTGAAATGCTTTCGCTGAGAATATAGCTTTAGGTTCTTTGTGATGCCTGTAATGGGACATCATGACCATATACTTACTTATGAATTTTAATTCAAGAGGCAAATTAAGTTTATATAGATATCCTTTATAGCTATAATGCGTGTTTTGCAATTCCTTTCTATTATCATCATATCTAAATCTAATTAACTGCATTAAATATATATACTTTTCAGTTTCAAATTGTTTTCTAGACAAATGTGAGTATATATGAAATTAAGTGCATGTAAAAGCTATAATTTTCTGTGAACTGAAGCAATTGTCTATTTTTTATTTTGTGAATAAATTTACAAAGTATATGTGCTTAACATCAAGACATTCCATTCTAGTTTTTTTCTATAAATTTATATTATTATCACTCTGGTTTCTGTAAGGAGAGTATATATTTAATCTTGTTAGCTCTAATCATTATAAGGAAGATGATTGCACTAGCCCAATGGAGGCTTACTCTTTTCAGCTCTAGTCCATGTGAGGAGAATTGGATTAGTCAAAATGAGAATTACGACCTTGCCTTACAAGTAAGGCGGCTTGGTTGAGAGTGTATAATATTTATTTAATTTTTGTCATTTTGTAAAAGAGATTTGATAAACATTAAATTTTTTTTATGTTTATTGAACCAAAGACAAATTTGTGTTAATTTTATTTTTAACATGTGTAATATTCTTAGAACTAGTGTTTGAGCGTTGAACACGTTGATTGGAGCACATGCAAGTTATTAGAATTTATTTTATACTTGTACATTTTCATAACTTACAATTGACCATTTAACATCTCGGTTAGAGTACGCGCACTTATTTATTAGTGTGCACATACCTCAGTGCACTTACATGAATTTTGAGGTGCTTGTATGTTCTTTGAGGTGGATTAAATTTTAATTTTAATTTATTTTAAGCCTGCGTAATTTTTTCTAGCCATGTAATTGAGAGTTTAGAGTAGTTGTTGGAGTACGTATGGGTGTGTAGTTATTGATAATATGGACATTTTCCATGCAGATAATTTTAAATTTAGTTGTAAGATCACTCGATATTCTTTGGTGTTTAAGTTTAATAATTTATAATTATCTTCGGAGTACATGCGAATGTTTTAAATTCATCTTGTATGACTTGCAAGGTGATTTGCATGATTTATGAAGCATAATATTCGAATTGAAAACTACCTCGTGAAGCATGTGCAAAAGTTAAGGTTATTTTGGTTTCACCATTTGTGCAAGCCTTATAATGCGAGCAAAATTTTATTTTGAACAGTGAAATAAATCCTTCTGTCCTCTTGTATATATGTTGCAAATTTGGTGACATTTTTTAGGATAAAGGAGAATCTTGGAGGTGTTGTAGGGATAATTGAAACTTGATAATTCTTCTTATTATTATTTTATATAATTTTATTGCCATTAATTTTTTTTAACATTTTTTTGTTTCTTACTCAATTTACTTGAACTTTAGTCTTCTTGATTCACTTATCAACAGATAAATTTCTTTGAATTTTTCTTGTGTGGTGACCCAGATAATAAAAGTGTCATTTTTGTGTAATTTCAACATCCTAGATGTGCTCGTGCAATTTGTTTTTGCTTTGAAGTTTGTTTGAGCAGCTTTGAAGTGGGTGACATTGATTTGTGTGACATCACATTTGATCTTCATTTTTTATTTCTAGCTCGAGTATATCGTGTCGTGATATTGATGTTGAGGTCAACATAGATTTGCCATACTATTGTAATACTTTGTAATATTAGGTCTATGAACCATTTCTGAGCTAGGATAGAAATGTGCAGAGAATCTTGGATAGATAGCACCAAGGATGTTGAGCTTGAAGAGCTACAAAAATGCTTTCGAACAAAGATATTTCACAATTAGTAATGAATGAAGATGTAGGTTTTATGCAAAGTACTGCATTTTAACTATTTGTTCGTGTGATAAATTATTTTTGTAAATTAACTATTAAATCTTTTATAAATTAATTTTGTAGGTGATTCCTTATCCTATATTGGTGCATAGAATTGATGGAATGGTCTTCTATAAGCCCATTGTTAAATACTCCTCAGCCTATTCTTGTTAGAGTTTCAAAGATGTTGATTGTCTTTTATTTGTAGACGAGTGGTGATCATGCTGAACAAATTTCGGTGAAGGACATGCAAATGCTAGTTATCCATGCTTTATTCCAAATAGTTGAAGTAGTTCTTTGTTGTTGTACAATAATTGAAGAGTAAGTAACTTTGATTAAAAAGTATTCATTTGAGATTTGAGCAAAAGAGTAGAAGCCTTGAGCAATCTTATTAAAAAAATTCTACATAGAAAGGTAGAGGAAAATAGGAGGACAACAAAGTGGTGTTTATTTTTAATTAAACCATTTATTCTGCTAAGTGTGGATTGAGGTGGAGAAGTAGATGGAGGAGGTGGGTGAGATAGGGGATGTTAACCAATCCCTTGCTATTATATGCATATATAAGGAGATGGATCAAGTATGATATATTAGCCCATATCTTGCTATTGTACATATTAATGATGAAAATTTAATAGATTATTAAAATAGAAAACAATAAAAATAAGGTGCATTCTATTGGGAATTTCATAATTTCATTAAGAAAGTGGCATAAGTTAATAGATTTATCTGTCTTTGATCTCTTTCACCTGATTGATGAAGAGCAATAGTCTTCATTTAAGGCTTGGAATTTTTGGATTCGAAGAAAATTCCAAAAGATTGAGAGATAGGAGTGGGCAGTGAAAGTGTAGTGAGGTTTTAACAATTGAATATACCCACACGGCTAAATAGTAAGGTAATTACTTATTAGTTTATTAATGGCATGATTTTTTGAGTAGTTGAATACATTTATTTCAATTTCGATCTCTTTTAACTTACAAATCTTTAATATTATCTAATATGGGAGCATATGTTACTACTAGAAGACCTATGAATCACGCGTCATTGTCCCAAATGAATTTTCTCATCAGTTTTGTAGAGCAATGATCTCTATACACAAGTTGAAGAAAAATTTCTTTAAGTGGCCTGAAAATGCTATAATGTATGCCATTTGAAAGTAAAAATGTTTCCAAACGCTAGGGCTAATTTAAAACTCATATATTATTCAATAAATTAGGATAAATTATACTGTCTAATATGTGAGATCTCATTGCTTGCAACGATTATGACGTTGTATGACAACACAAATCTTGCAGGAAATTACTACTTTGATTGTTTGAGATGTTAAGTTTATTTAACAAAAAGATTTCTCATCCAAAGCTTTTCAGAAATAGTGGGAAGCCATAACAAATCAGTTTCTCATGTTTACTGTGAGGTAGACTATTTGAAATTTTAACAATATTCTGTAGAGACTTACATGAAGTTCATGAGTTATCTTTCTTAGTTGTAATGAAAATTACTGAGTATGTACGAGAGAATATATCTTCGTGATTTTAAAGAAAATGTTTTAAAATCTACACCTGATCATATATATGTTTAAAAGGCAGATCTGATCATATATATTTTTAAAGGGTAGGCTTGATCATATATAATTTTAGAAAAAACCATCTATATGAAGGTATATTTATAACAATGTAGATCCATAGTGGGTAGATGGCAATAAAAAATGGAATTATTCTATGAATATCTTTGTTTTCATTCATTTAATTCTATGTAATTGTTGAATTGCACTCTATTGTATTATAGTTGTTAGATTGTACTCTATTACATCCTATCTTTTAATTTGTTGTGTTCTAGCAATGTGTTGTACTATGTTGTATGAATATCTTTGTTTCCATCCATTTAATTTTATATAATTGCTGAACTGCACTCTATTGTATATAGCTGTTAGATTGTACTCTATTACATCCGTTAAGGTTGCACTTTGCTATATCAATGTTGCATTTTATTGTGTTATATCTGTTAGATTGCATTATGCTATATTTATCTTCTAATATGTTGCGTTATAGCTATTGTGATTGCACTTTGTTGGATCAATCTTGTGATCTGCTATGTTAAGGCTATTATATGGTGCTGTTTTGTATTCCTGGTAAGATAAATTATATTTGAATCATGCTTAAATATTATTTGAAATTTGTTTGTTTGAATCATATTTGAACCTTGTTCGAAATTATGTGAAGATGGTTTGAATCCTATTCAATCTTTGTTCAAAATATATTTTAGCCTTATTTGAATTATATCTGAACCATATTTCATGTTTAAATTACTTTTGAATTATATTCAAACAACTTTTTATGATTGTGTGATTGGGTTCAAATTTGGTCTAACCAAGTTCAAACTAAGGTTTGAATACAAGTAATTCAAATTGATTTCATTTGTGAGGGAACATGATTCAGGAACACTTAAAATTAAGGAGCCGTGCAGTGTAGGGCAAACCCCAGACATGGACGCGCAACGACACTCTCCAGATATGCGCTAGACATGGCCCTGACATGTCCGATTTAAATAATAATAAAAAAGGGCACGCATTCCTTTTTTTCAGTGAATTTAATCTTAAAAAAATCTTTTTAAAACAATTAACAGAAGTGATAGATATTTAATAATTAAAATTTTAAAAAATAATTTATTTTTTATTTAAAGATTAAACTTATACCGTTCTATCTTGTTACATTGAATAGATGTTCGATAACTTTTTTTTGCTTGATAATAGGATGACTTCAGCAGATTCTATGCTTCTTGTTATCTTGGTTTCTTGTTATCTGATTTGAAACGAACAGCATTCGGATTTGGCAATTTTTCTCCATCAAGCGTTAACCAGGGACAGGGACATTTGAGCATATGAGTTGGACTAAACTAGTAAAACGCTAGTAAAGGACTTTCAAAATTTAGAAATTTGTTCTTCCTTGAAAAGTATTTGGCTATAAGCTAAGAGGGAAGAAAGGATGAGCGCATGTTTATGCTAAAATTTAGACCAACGCATGAACATGCAAAATTTAAACTTAACATGTTTAATTTATGGGGCATTTACATGCATAGTATGCAATTCTTATATATTTACATATCTCACACCTAAACTTTCATATTTACACACATAGCACTGAAATCTTTGATATCACATAAAAAATAGTTATTTTAATTTTTTTTAAAACTTAAATACACATTTTCATGCAAAATACACAAATACACATTTTCATGCATATGTTTAAAGCACTAAAGTGCTATGTATGTAAATATGAAAATACATCATTATTGTGTGCTGCATATGTAATTTTTGCTTAATTTATTTATCACTAATGTTTGAAGCATGACTCCTCTTTCAAATAAAAATCATATGCTCCAAATGAGGAATTACCAAGCCGCCATAGAAAAAAATTCCTTTTAAATTTCCGTATATATGGCTTGTGTTTGTGTTTCTAATTATGCAACACAAATTCATTGAATTTGAATCCAGAAAAGGTACAACAAGATAGATCAATGAAAACAAAAAAGACACAGCAAATTAGAAACGCAAACACAAGTTAGGAAGTTTTTAAAAAATGGAGATGACTTTTTATGAAACACAAATGCAAACACAAGTTTTTAAAAAGTACAACATTCCTAATTAGTGTAAAAAAAGAAGTTTTTAGAATTCTTTTTTAAGAAAAGCATAACCAAACAAGTTATTGAATACATAAATGACTTTTTGTGAAGCGGAAAAGAGTTGGGAAGTTTTCTCAAAGGAGCGCTTGCTATTTGTGGTGAGAAATTTGCTGGTAATACGTCATAACCTTTGAATTATAGAGATTAGTGGGAAATTACTAGCTTTTAGGTCATATTGCAGTTAAGAAGAAACAAGAAATTGGGAATGTTAAAGCTGGATGAATTGTTGAAGTAGAGGTGGATAAGCAGCATTGATTTGAGGATAAAATTATAGAAAATAGATTTGACTTACAATAATTGTGAGGAAGATAGAGGACTTCAAACCTAATTGCATGGGAATAACAATAATAATAATAATTAGGAGGGAGGGTTCAGTAAAATGATTCCATGTAGTTTGGTTAGGCTATTGATGATTATGCGGATGCAAAATCCTTTATGTTGGACCATTACTCAGATCAATAAATAGGATGATGTGAGGGCCAATGATTGGATGTTTTTATGAAGATACATCGAATAGAAGTGAAACTTGTGACATGTTTTCTAGCTTTGCCGAATGTCATATCTAAATTTTTTTTTTAGTTTCCTGTTTTAATATCCCATAGAATGTATAAGATTCTTTCTTCGGACTGTATTTAATGGAAATCACAAAATTTATGATCTATTTTAAAGTAATTTTATGGCATTTATTTGGTTATTGCAGGGTGATTCAGGTAAACTTTCTGCTGAGACATATGTTTGGGCAGACAAAGATGATCCAAATTTGTATGGTGAATGGGATTTTGAGGTACATCTCTGTCCCATATGTTTTAAGGTTGGGATAATTATACAGAGACCACTCGAAAAATTGATAATTAGAAATTAACCACCCATTTAAATTTTTTAAACTACCGAACTAATGTATTTACATGCGTTGCAATCAAACTATTGAGAATTTGATAAAAATGAAAAACATGGGTTTGGGTTTTCATGAATTTTTTATATTTGAGTGAGAATTTTCGATGAAAAAGGGTGGTCGATTTATAAAGTTTTAGGATCCGTCTTAATCAAATTTTGATCAGAACATCCTTATTTCATATTTCCTAATTGGATAGAAATAAATAGCACCTGAATTCCATATTTCGGCTTGTATATGATGAAGGAATGGAAGCAGCTGCACTTGAAGGATTTCCTCTCCATGACTGAAGGGTTTGTTAAGGAGTTAGAAAAGCTGGATCTGAAAACTAGGGTGGCTATTTACGAAGCCTACTATAAGAAGTAACCCCTCACCCCCCATTCATTCTTCATATCATATAATACCCTCTTGTTAATGATATTTATTTGTAATAATTTAATTATATTATAATTATTACAAACTTAGGGCCTGTTTGAGACATTACACTTATATTTCGGAACTGCTTTCATATTATTTTTTTAGAAATTTCTATGATTGGAAGTTATTTTTTTGAACTTACATACTTAACATCTGATACATACATATACATACATACATACATACATACATACATATATACCCATCTTTCTAAGTGGTCAGAAGTAGAAAAAAACAGGAAGGAGAACTCATCATTATAATAATAGAAATGAAGTACTGTGAGAGGGAGAAAGGGTGATAATGACAATGATGGTGGCGTGGAGGAATATTTGATGAAAAAAAAGGTGCTTTTTAGTCCAAAATGTAGGTAAGAAAAGTTTCATTGCTGTTTTCGTTTTTTGAGTAAAGGAGTTCACACAAGAATGCTTTACAAGTAATTCCAAATTGGTCGTTGATAAGCAAACTAGGCTTTTTTTTATTACATAAAAAATAGTTTGAGAGTGCAAAAAGGTTATAAGTTGTTCAACTCTTTAAAGGAAAAAAGAATTTTTACATACATGCCAAGTGATTTGTATATATTTACAAATCTAAACCCTAAACTTTGCCATACATATACACACACAATTTTAGTTTTGTTCATAACCATATATTTTCTGTGTACTTATCTTTCATTATTAATAATAAAATTAGAATTATATTCTATCCTCTAATTATGTATTTTATATTTTCACTATATTTACACATATAATAATATATAGATTTTTTAAATAAATCAAGCTAAATACAAACTCACTAACTTTAAACATCAGTCATTTTCACATAAAAGTAATTTCAAAAGAACCGAACAACATCAGTCATTTTCACATAAAAGTAATTTCAAAAAAATCGAACACAAGCCAAGCCGGGCTCGCACAAAGCTGATTTTACGACCTTATATGTAAGGGTGATAATTCAATGAGTATGGATTGATTATTTTCAAATTTGATCAAACCTTAAAATCCGAAATTCAAAAAATCAAGCCAATCACAATTTTAATAAAACTGAATTTTATCAAATAGAAATTTGATTTGATTAGAGTTCAACCTTGAACAAACATTAAGATTTGCACATCTTATATGTATAATATCAACTTGATTTTATCCTCCACTTAATTTCAATTTTTCAATTTGCTCCGCTTAATAAAAATTAAAATCGAAGTTTTTAATAACCAAAAGATATAATATATTTTAAAACCAAAAGATTATTTAATCCAGTTGTGGATATTTGATCAAACAATGCATGAGCAGGTTTTTTACTGCTGTAATTACTTGCTGCTAAGTGCTGTTATGATCAGTGAACAAAAAAAAAAAAAAAAAAAAAAAAAAACAGAAGTTAAAACAAATTTAGGCACCAATAACTGCAATACATAACTCTAATTTAAGTCTATATTTTCAAGTAGAGTTCAGTTCTTACAACTTTATACTAAAGACAACAAGCATATATGCACAACAAGAAAAACTGAAGACTTACAGCTTGCAGACATCCAAAACAAATGCAGCTTCTTAAATAGATGAATCAATAAGAATCAATGGGCCTACCACCTGACCTCAACGTGTTCATTTGTTAGAGAACAAGCATCTTCTTCTTCTCTGCATTCAATTCCTACTTTTACTTCTTCTAGTTTACAAGGTGAATGAGGTGGTCTGGATTGCCAGCTTCAGTTCATTCTCAAAATAGCTATGCAATCACAAAACAAAGCTTAGGTTATGACAAAAGTGTTAAAATAGTCACCTAATTACTCTTTGCAAGGAGAGAGAATATTGCGTCCCGAGTTGGGGCACGAGTTGCGTCCGCACAACGGACATGATACAGCGGAGGTCCGATCTCCCGCTCCGGCCCGCTGTATCACTTCTGCTGTCCGGACGCAATATTTTTTCTTGCAAGGGAGGCCCTTATTACTCCGGGTTAATAAATGTGCCAATTTCATCCCAAACTCTTTTATTAGATCAAAATAATCCCACGGAGAACTAAAATAGAACTAATTTGGCACATTTTAGACTTTGGGATTAAAATGGCCCCATGAAAAATATAGTCAATAGGATTATTTTGATGCTTTACTTCTTAAGTAATGGACGAAGTATTGTCTGGCTAACCTATTGAAAAGTCGTCTGATGAGTGTCATTCCAAATGATCATATGATCCGGTGGAGGGATTGCCTGAATTTTGGTCACACTGACCCCTCCAGGCATTCCCACCATCAGAACTACTGCAAGCTTGATTTGGTAGAAGGCCGTTGCCGAGATCGCCGTCCAAACTCATCTGCTGAACTTCTTGTGGAGAGAGAATCCTGATGTATCGCACACAGTTCACGAACTCCCTGTTCATCGAACGTTGAAGGCGCAATTCAACATAATTTAGAATGAAATTTGATTAAAAAAAAATGAAGTGAAAAACAGATGCATCTTAGAACTTACTCCCAAGGATCATCTCCCACAAGCAGGACATCATTCTCATGATCAACATAAACTAGCTTCCATCCAATCCTCTGCCGGTCCTCTAGCTGTCCTTCAATGCTGAACATTCTAGCTAAATCACGTTTCAATTCATCGTATCCAGAGTATCTGGTGATATCAAGAGATCTACCCACAGCTCCACGCTTGTAAACCTGCAATAGGGAGAGCAAAATAAAAAGTTGGGAGATTATTGAAAAAATATTTGAAAATAATCAATTAACACTCACAAAAAAAAGCAAAATTAAAGTCATAATATACATGCTTATGCATTAATGATATGTTTAATGAGTTTGGCCAGGCAAATGTATTCACTTTCTTAGACAACTTTAAAACTATCACCCTCAAATTGAATAGCAGGGACAACCAACCTTGGTATAAGTGCGCATTCTTTGGAACTGAGAAGTTGGTCCCCATGAATTTCTGTTCAACAGACTGCTCTCTGTTAAACTTGAATCAATAGAATTAAAAGCCACATCAGCAACTCCAAAAGACTGAGAAACCATTGAAGATGACATCTCTTGCTGTGCATCTTTTGAGGTAGTATAGTTCGTAATCGCATTCCCGGTTAATTGGTTTTGGAATTTTCCTGAATCAATACTATTTGTAAGTAAGGGATCATTAGTTAGAGGAACTCCCAACGGGACATCTATGTTAACTCCAAAAAGGGTATTATTATTCCTCAGATCAGTTCCTTGTACATCACTATCTGGTAATGTGCTTCTGAACAATGACGGTTGATTGAAAGAAGAAAGTGGAAGGTTTTGCTGCAAAGATCCATCATTTTGTGAAAGACAAGCGGAAGTTGCTGAAGAAGATGAATCCAAATAGTCCATCTGAGCAGCATTGTTCAAATAAACCTGCGGCGCAACTCCCTGGCCTTGCAGCTTTGAGATTGGCACAGATGGCTTCACATTTTGTTCTAACTTTGGTACATCTTTAGCTAATTTGGCAAGTGCTGGAAGGGCTTCTAAAGAGCAGGGATTTAGAATTGTTACTGGTGAAGGCAAAGACTTTTCAGTTGTAACCATGCTGTGGTGAGATATCCTACTAATAACAGGCTGAGGAAGTATTGAACTGTTGTTTGTGGAAGGTGATGTGGAACAAGAAGGGGCATCATCTGTGAGCATTGAATGAGTTCCTCCAGCTGTTAACAAGTTAACTGTTGAAAGAACATTGGTCGATGGAACTGGAAGAACACCCATAGGCAGCTCAGCAAGAGGCATTTGCTGCTGTTGAAGCTTTTGCTGCAGCAATGGTGAGGATTGCGGCACTCTTACATTCATGGCTGCAGCTTTACCGCATTGTGGAGGACTACTCTGTGGCAGGTGAGAAGATGGATTTGAATATGACGGATGCATTGCTGCTTCGAGAATTGTTATTTGCTGATCTTGGATTTGGGGTAGTTGAGCTTGTTGAAGCAAAGTTTGTGACAAGAGTGAAGGTTGCTGCAGCTGTTGTTGCTGCTGGAGCTTTTGCAATATTTGCAATTGTATCTGATGTTCAGATAAATGCATCTGATTTGTTTGATTAGGCACCTGAACCGTCATTCGGTTCAGCTGCTGCTGCTGATTTTGGTGTTGGATCTGCTGCTGCTGTTGCTGATTTTGGTGTTGGATTTGCTGCTGCTGCTGCTGCATGAGAAGCTGTTGATGCTGCTGAGAATGGTTATTTACAAGATTGGCCTGTATCACATGTTGATTCGGCACCAGTGATTGTTGCTGCGGGATTTGATTCTGCACCATAACTTGTGGTTGAGTGAGATTATTCTGCAACAGTGATGGTTGCTGCTGTTGTGGAGTTTGGGCTTGAGCAATGGAGACAGATTGATTGATGAATTGCTGCCTCTGCTGCATTGAAATGTCTTGATGCGGCTGAAAAACAGAACTCAGTTGATTCAATGGGGGCTGTATCTTTGGAAGTGTGTCAACCTGCTGTGCTTGTTGAGGTAGCCTGGGAGCATTAAACTGCATATTATTCTGCGGTAAAAGCTGAGCCTGCAAACCCAGCTGCCTCGAAATATCGGCCGCACCGAGGCTCTGAATCATAGGAGGAGCCAGAGAGCGCAAATAATCAGGCTGAATCCCTGAGTTGCCCAGCAAAGAATTCTGCTGCATGCTCATCCACTGAGCTAAGCTCAGACCAGGCATTATAGTATTTTGAGACTGAGCGTCCTTTATGCAGATCTCCTCACCAAGCCAGGGCATTGCCCTTTTAAATAGAGTCTCCATCTCTGATGTCTCGTCATCTGCAACATAGGATTCCTCATCAGCTGGGTAATAACTCTATCAGAAATACCATAAATTTTAGAACATCAACCACATTGAAGGCAAAAAAAGGTAAATTTTTTACACACAAAGTTGATAGCAGCTTTTGCACAGAAAGGCAAACCAAACTGTCAGTTTTCTTATAATTATTTTCAATTTCTATAAATATTTTACTCCAAAATAACCGATGAATTTTTTTACCATCTAAATTTTAATTTGGTAAAATGGGAACTAAAAAAAAGGGAGAAAAAAAAAACTAGAGGCTTGTCATTTTGAAGCTACAATTAAACAAGAGGCAGGGTGGACCTGCCATTCCTGGTTGCCTTGGACGTTTTGTCCTGAAAAATGGTGGAGGGCATATGAAGAAAGGGGCTGCCACAGGTTCAATCTCCCATATAGACACCCTGTTGCGTCTTTCCCCAGGCGCAGATTCATCCCATCCTACCTGATTAGCAATTTAAAAGCTCATAATTCATTCCCACTAACTTTAAAATAACTAAATTAGAATCTTAGAAGAAGCTAGACAAAAGTTCATAAAAAGTAATTTACATCCCAACCCCTCACTATTCTCCAAATTTTAGAATTCCTAAGCATTTAAAACATTTCATATATCCATAACATTAGGATATACAAAAGGTTGGGGGTGTATTTTTACATGCGGGAAGTTGGTGAGACTCATAGTTACAAGAACCACCCTTGAGGGGCCATATTATTTAACCTACTTCATAAAGTTCGAAGTCATGTTAAAAACCTGCAAATTGCGCCACTGAGAGTTTTTCCACCTTACAGGATCCAGATCGCTGATACCTGTAATTGTACCCATATACCTATAAAGCAGGAGGAAGAAAAAGGCTATTTAGTTTTCCAGGTTTTATAGACTGAACAGGCCAGTCGGCACATGCGATTAAAAAGTGGTTTAACTTTCAAATTGACCCATCGAATTATCAAAATTTATATTCCCACGTACGACTATTCAAAACTTCAAGAATTCATGGTGATTGTAAAAGAGAAAAATGTCCATACAGTCCCTAACTTTTTGCAGAGAATCATTTTACCCAGAGTCTAAAAAAGTGTCAATTTAGTCCCATATTCTTTCAAGATGAGTTGAAATAGTTCCGATGGAAGACCATTTTAGCCATAATTTAAAAAGCATGGATTATGTTGCACCATGTAAACGGTTGGGGTACTATTTGCCATTTTACTCAGATTGTAAAATGCTGTCTTACCTTCTTGTTCCTGATTCTTCAGTTTCAAACATCATTCGAAATCGCATGCCTAGAGAGAGCTGATGACCATAAACTGCTTTGTTGTACTTGGCTAAGGGAATAACAAATTCTGATGGACTGGCCCTGTTAAAACACAGCAGTAATACTCAAGCGGCAGGCACAATTTAAACCTGTATGATTTATATTATCACTGATTATTGACAATTTAAACCTAAATGCTGCAAGACCAGTCCTTATGCAATAAAGTAAAGACAACAAGAACATATAATTAAAAAAAAAAAGAAGCAACAAACCTGGGATTATAAAATATTGTAAACGGGCTGCTGTTTGCTGCAGCATGAGCTGCAGCTGCAAGAATTCCAATGTGCATGCTATCGCTCGATAAAACCGAAGATGATATATTAGTGGGTTGTCTATTAGCTCTCCTAATTCCCAAAAGAAGCTGATGTTTCTCATCCCTGCAAGTTTAATTATATGAAACGTTGAATTTCTAAGTGTATTAGTATGACATTTTTACACGCGGTATGATAATGGCGTCCGAGGAGATTATATCTGTTGGGAAGAAGGTAATATGATAAATAAATTATTTTTAAGGTTACAAACACAAAAATGCATATTGCTGAATTACAATGGGATGTGCATCCTGCAATAGAAAAATCTAAAAACAATTTGTTAGAACCCTGTTTTCCTTAAAACTTACTTAATAAATAAGACCGAATCACCAGCTAGAAGCCGCTTCCCACTCACAAATAGGCTCCAACCGGTTGTCAACAAGTGTCTTTTTGGTTGACCTAAGATCACAATATGAAAATTTTTAAACCATTACACAATGTGCAAAGACAGAGTCAACAGAGCCAAAATAAAGTTGATTTGAAGTATTTCATGGATATTGCGTCCTAATGCTATTTGTATGAGATAAGAATTTTAAAATTTCTATTTTTTCAGCTTATAATCACATACTAGCATGAATGGGGAACCCATAAGCAGTAGTTAGTGAGAATTAGAGCTATGTCTTAGAATAGGACATTGGGAGACAAAGTGATCGAGAAAGTGAACCAAAAGAGGGTCCAAATTTTGGTTAGGTACACCAATGATCTAGCTCATTTGGGTAAAGACCAATCATGTATTATTTTTACACCACTATATTTTCACCAATTCGATGTGGGACTAAACAAACCAAAGGCTTTCATGAGTCTTAACAACCTTCCTATTATACAGAGCTTTCCAAATCGTCTAAGCACTTGTGCTTGCTAAAAGCCAAAACAAACCACCTACGCTTTTTCACATTAAACAATGGTCTGCATTTAAGAAAATATATACTACAATGGATCATTTTACTGAGTTATAATGACTGTGTTGAGCTTAACAATACCTCGGTAGATATGTCTGAAGATCCAAACACTATCATGCAAGTCCCTTGCCTGCAGTTCTTGAGCAGGCGGCTGCATTGAGAAGTCCTGCATGAAATTTTAAAAGGACTAAGAGAAATGAAGTTTCCCGCTAAAAGAGAAATTCTTTAGCTAAGAGAAACTACTTACAAGAGAAGGAAATATCTTCTCTGCAGCACGACGGGGCACCGAAAACCCTCCATGTGTGCTTGTATCACTGGCAGTTAGTGTTTTACAGAAAAATTCTGTTTGTAGTTTGTTCGTTTTCAATGCAAGGTCTGATGCCAGCAATGCCTTCTCATCGTACTATGAAAAAAAAAGAGAAAGAGAATGTTACTTTGAATGGTATCATTTGAGTTTTTGCCTTCATGTAGGAATATTGATTCTTTAAGCAAACATTTGAATTTTAATAATTTCTAACACTGACAACCAGATGTAAAGATATTAACAATAAATTTGTTACTTTTATTGAGAGCCACAAAGAGCAAATTTGAGAGCAACAAAGAGCAAATCAATCCTTAGTGAGAGATGATAGCGATGATCAAAAGCAAACAAACCAAAAAGAAATGAGACAAATAGAGAGCAAATATCTCCTTAAGGAGAGAAAAAAGTAACCAGTGAAACAAAGCGAAACCAATGAAATCAAACAGAATATCGCTTGATGTAAACCCAACAATAGCATGAAAAAGAATTCCCATTTGACCAACAAGAGAATGATCACCAAATGGGGGTAAAGAAGTTGAAATAATTAAAGACAATTTTTGCTTGATTAAAATTGTTGATTTTCAGAATTCAACCGAATAATATTATTGATATGAAATAGGAATTATAAACGCCCCTTACATGAATCCCAAAATAGGAAAAACAATAAAAAGGAAATAGTAGAAAAGGAAAGATATAACACCTATATTTCAATTAATCAATTCATATTAATCACTTGGAGATAAAGAAAACAACATACAACATAAAATAGGAAAGAAAATAACTTCAATCCAAAGAAATAAATTTAATCATCGTAACTTCTAACAGGAATATATTATTTGATAATATAACTTGTAATACTCCCCCTCAAGTTGAAACATGGTTGAAAACCATGTTCAACTTGGATTTAAAAACATCAAACAATGAGCAAGGAATATTCTTTGTAGCAAGGAATATTCTTTGTGAGGTAAAACATGAAGTTTTTATCCCCTATTTGGTAATCAACCCCAAGAGTATTTAGTTGACAGGAGTTGTCTTTGTCTACAGTTTCTGCAGGCAAAGAAGTTCCAGAAAAACAGACAACCAATAGAAAAAGTTGTAGGATATGACCTCCAAAAAGGAAAAAAAACTCCGAAGGTCGGCCTTGCTATAGGAAAAGCGTTTAGAGGAGAGTCTGCTGCAGGAAAAATTCAGGTGGAGGTCGACTGCAGGAAAAATTCCGAAGGGCCTGATATAGAGAAAAGCTCTAGAGAAGAGTCTGCTGCAGAAAAAACTCAGGAAGAGGGTCTGCTGCAGAAAAGACTCCGGAAGAGGGTCCGATGTAAGAAGAAGACTCTGGAGGAGGGCCTGCTACAAGAAAGAAGAGAAGAGTCTGCTGCAGAAAAAACTCAGGAAGAGAGTCTGCTGCAGAAAAGATTCCGGAAGAGGGTCCGATGTAAGAAGAAGACTCCGGAGGAGGGCCTGCTACAAGAAAGGCTCCGAAGGAGGATTTGATGTAAAAAGATTTTGAAAGAGGGCCTGATGCAAAAATAAGTTTCGAAGGAGGGTCTGCTTAGAGTTTTTCTACTATAAAGAAGAAACCAACCGAGAAGGCCATTAGAGAAGGTAGATCCATCAAACCATGGAATGAGAGACCACATTCCATCAAAATTGAATCTTGGATCCGGGTACCCAAGAGAAGGGTGGCCGTTGAGTGAAGGTTGAATTTTGTTGATTATTTTTAGAGATTGGGGCACATCGTTTCCAGAGATACTAACATTATTTAATCCATTTGAATTTGATTGTGCAGCATCTACAGACACAAGGGCCGGATATGCAAAAAAAGCTGAATTAAGTTTTGGCTGAGAAATGGAGCACCATTGGAAGAGCTTGATCCATTTGGGAATGCTTTGGGCTGGAAATATGGAAAAGGATATTGGTAATGTTGGGTGTCATACATTTGGGTGTCGTGATCAACAGGCAAAACAACATAAGCAAAAGAGGTATAAGCACCATAAGGTGTATATCCATATCCATGGTGATACAAATCACCATAAACTCCATGTGGCATCTCCACTCCTTCAGGGCTTAAATGCCTAGAATACTTGTCCTAAGATCCCATCGAACCATCATAAGCTCTGTAATAATAAGCTGACAATGGATAACCGTTATGTTGATACCAGATATTATGATCCATGTACTTTGGAAGAACAAGGGTCACAAATCTCTCTGATGATGGGATCTGAACCTTTGGTGCTTCCGCACCATTTACTGAACCATAAGGAATACCAGTCAGCTTCTTAGCAACCTCAGGAGCATCATGAGTCTAGCTCTTGGAATCCAACGTTAGCTTCTACAGCAAATCTACGGCTTGATTTGCAGCGGGGGCAGGGACCGTCTTAATCGAATCTAGAGCAGAGGATTTCAGACAAAAGCAAAACTAGATATCAAGATGGTGTAGGACGATAAATCGAAACCCTAACGCCAGTGGAAGATGGCGCGATGGAGAGTGACTGAAGAGTTGACATTAGAAATATCAGCAAAAACCTAGGAGCGAGAAAGAAGAGCAAGCGTCGCCACAGGAGAAGGAGAGAAAGCTTCCCTTCTTTCCTGTAGGGAGGATGGCACAAAGGGAGGATGACGGCTCTAAAGAGAGTACCAACGGCTCGGGTATGAAATTTTTCTTTGATAATATGTTGATTTTTAGAATTCAACATGATAATATTATTGATATGAAACAGAGGATATAAAGAATCCTTACATGAATCAAAGAAAAGAAAAGACAATAAAAATGAAATAACATGAAAGAAAAGATATGTTTTAGAATTCAACATGATAATATTATTGATATGAAGCAGATGATATAAAGAATCCTTACATGAATCATAAAATAGAAAAGACAATAAAAATGAAATAACATGAAAGAGAAGATATTACACATATATCTCCAATTAATTAATTGTATTAATTACTTTGAGATAAAGAAAACAACATAAAGCATAAAATAGGAATGAAATAATTCCAATCCAAGAAAATAAATTTAATCTTCATAATTTCTAATAAGAATAAATTATTTCCTAATATAACTTCTTACAAAAAGTAGTGCTAATACTAATATACCTAAAAGCAAAAAAAGGAACAAATCCTAAAAAATGAGAATAAATTATGATAACAAGTATCATAAATTACTACCATAACTATTAATCAAATGTGGTAATATCGATAACATCTTTAAGCATAATAACTCTAACAATTCTAACAGACAATATATATTTTTTAAGGTTTCTATACATCACGAGTATGAGATTGTCAAATAAAATGGAAAATAAAAATGTATACTATCAGCCTCCATAAATTCTGCTGTTTCAGCTAAATGATTATCAACAAACCTAAAATGACGCTGTTTTTTAAGGAATTTCTTGAACATTATCAATTGATGCATGCCAAAAAAAGGTGTCCTCTAATTGCTATATATATCACTAGAAAGTTAATACAAACTATAGAAAATTAAATGCTGGAAAGCTCCCATTAATCCTTCCAAGAGCACCTAAAATATGTGATTGTTCATAAAGATGAAAACATCACAGATGCAGAACCAAGCTAGGCAGGAGAAAGTGACACAATTAGTTGGCAACAAGCCCCTGTTTTATGCTTAGAAATATGAACTGTAAGGGAACTTAAGAATGAATTGAATTAAAAATAGTCATACAATAAGCGACGGAGACAGGTTTTAAGTTCTTACTGAATTTACTGGCTGAAGGGTCATCTGTGCATAAACTTCATCTGTTTCTGTATCTGCCTACAGAGTTGAGGGTAAATGTGATCAATAAAAAAGGTAATTCACAAGATTGTTTCCTCAAAATAACTAGATTTTGATTTGAGCAAATAAAAAATTTAAACGTACATGCAGAGTAACATTGTGAAGAAGGCAAATTAGCTTGGAGGGAAGGTTTGGATAGTTTGGAAAATGAGCATCAATATCTTTTTGCATGGATGCTGCAACCTGCAACACATAGGCCTCACATCAGATAAATCAAGGAAAAATTCAGGCAACATCCTGTACAAACACCATCCAAACTCACATCGAAAGCTTCAAAAACTTTTATTTATTCTGAAAGTGTAAATAGGGTTCTGAAGCATAACTATTGAACATGAACATAAAACCAATCTGCAATACTAATTACATAAACCAATAAGCAGAGAAAAAAAACATTATCCTCTACCAGTTTGTTAGAAACAACTTCATAAATGCACAAAAGTAGTTGCCTTGTGAACTTCAGTTAGATGTTATAGCTAACATGAGATTCAAAGATCTCTAACAACAACCATGTTGCAAGTTTCTTAATCCTCATAAAAGGCGAAAGTAAAGTTGGCATTAGATCTTCCAGTGTCCAGTTCTAATGATTCGAAAAAGACTACATTAAACTTTTCAAGGGAAATTAAATTAAAAATGATACCTAAAAGTGAAATAACTCCAAGACACTCATTAAAAATTCTCTCTGGAAAAGAAAATTTAAGATCTGAATCCAACAAAATAAGGAGTACCATCTATCTAATTCCAAGCAATACGCCATAATAGAGGAAAATCAAAGGAATCCACCATTTCAGGCCATAAATTGCAAAATATATGGGAGAAAGGGAAGATTTAAGGAGGGTATGAGTGGTCACATGCCCCCTTAAATTTTTACTATATTTTTATATATAATAAGCATATATTAATATACATCTATTACTCGATATTTCTTATAAAAAAATTTCAATTTGTTCCCTCCACACAATAAAATTAACTCATGTGCCCACATTAGGATTACACCATGCTCTAGATGATGTATTAGTACAAACTCAACTCTTTCCACCAACATGAAAAACAGTTAGCCTTCTACAAGTCTACATCCTCAATTCAAAGCAATTTTACCATCCATAGCAGGTCATACCAGCTTTTTAGCTTTGTTTAGGGGAACAGTTCTAAAGAGACACAAGAAGAAAACTCCAACAATGAGTGAAAAATTCAACAGAACTCATCGTGGCATAAACTGTGATAAAGCACATGGCTGTTGCTAACAGAGAACCTCGTAGCACTCCTTAGACTAGCATTAGTATTTTCTCAGAAAAAAGCAACTAGCGGTAGTATTCTCTAAACCTAACAGCATGGGAAAGTCAAAATCCCAAAATTGTTCTTCGGAATACTATTGCTGACAGAGAAACAACAAGGCATATAGAGAAAAAGATAATCAGCAAAAACTATAAGAAAAGAGAGGAGAAATTCAAATAAACAGAAATAAGACAAACTAAACTAAAATAAGTAAAGGAGCAAAGAACTAGACATCATTTCGCCACGCAAATCCAACGAACGCCTAAAAATTACTTCTTAAAAATCCATTTACTTATAAAATTTACTGCATGCAACAGATTCTCAGAGCCCAAAAACTCATAATTCCTCTCAGAAACAGCAAAAAGTTCAAAAATCCCCAAAAAAAAAATTGTTTAAAAACTATAATATGAACATAAAAACCTAAAACAATAACAGCAAAGAAAACCACAAAACCACGCCATTCAATCCACAAAATAACACTATGAAGCTAAACAGAGGAAAAAAAACCAAATAAGCTGAAACAAGACAAAATAGGTACACATATTGCAGCGCAAAAATAGCAAGGGTACCATCTAGCTCATAATCTCCCCCCTCTCACCTGCTCGCTGTGTCCCTGCGGGAAGTAAGCCACGAGACTCCCCACCGGCGGAAGCGTTACCAGCGGCCCAGCACACGCGTGCCATAGCTCCGGATTTATCGTCTTCCTCTCCCCACCTGCATCCCAACGCATCCCTTCCGAAAAAAAAAAAAAAACAAATCTAACTTAAGTGCAGATAACGATCCGCGCTCACTCCTCACTTACCATCGCCGCCCCCCGCCGGTATTGCCCGCACCCGCCCCGGCGGCCGCGGCGGCCGCGCTCGCAGGGGATTTCATCATCACCACTCTTGGAAGCTCCGGCACATCGTAAAACAGTGGACGGATAGCAGATCGGAGACGCCGCCGGTGATTAAGCTGAAGATATAACCTTCAGCTGCAGCTCCGGCTTGGGGTCCAAATAAAGGCGCGACGGCGGAGATGATTTGGGGGAGCTTGAAGGCAAGCAGGGAAGGAAGGAAGCTCAGTGAGGGAGTGTCCGGCGCTGGAGTGGCTGTTTGCCGGGCAAGACAGGGACACCAGAGAAGTCTATGGAGGAGTAGACAGCCATGTATGGAAGGAGAGAAGACAGTTTTTATTTATAAAGGAAGATAATTTTTCTTTTTCTTTTTCTTTTTTTCTGAAGCAGAGAAATGAACTAATGAAGTAAGCGTGCTCGTCTCGAAACGTGCTCCGTCTTTTTGGACCAAAAGGGAAATAGGCAGCTACACTCTTGCTCTATTTTCCTCTATTTTTCTCTTTCAGATATATATGCTTCTGAAAATATGTAAATGCAAGTCTTATATGAAAATTTGGGGGGGTTAAATGTAAAATATAAAGTTTAGATGGTCGGTATGTATGTAAATGGCTCTATTACTTTTGTGATTGATATTGATTGTGACGTGTTGATATGTTGTTTTTGGCTTGACAAATTGTAAAAATTTAATTAAAAATGATAGGGTTATTAAATATGGGGTTGGACATTTACATCAGAAATTAAATTTAGGGGTATGTTTGAGGCGGCTGCAGTTTATTCAGATAAGTTGCTGATCAGCATCTGATCCGGAAAAACTGTCCGACTGTTTGGTTTGTGCGTTTGGAAAACAACTGACTCTGGATAAATTGTGATACATAATTTTTTTTTTAATATTATGTATCGCAATTTTGAAAGCATTCATGCATTGTATGCGACTGTGGAAGACAACTGTTTTCCAAACGCTTTCTTCCAAACATATAAATCAAACAGCTGAATCTGGATCAGCTGCTGATCAACAGCTTATCTGGATAAGCTGCGGCTGCCCAAACAGGCCCTTAAATGTTCTTGATTTTGGTATTTACACAAGCAGCTTGATGTTAAATTTTAATTCAAATTTAAAATTATTTATTTATTTATCAATTGTTATTATTATTTTGACTTGAGCATACTATGTTAAATATTGGTTTATGCAAGCTCGATGAATTCATAAATAAAATTATTTATTATTTTCCTTAAAAAAACTGATTATTAATTAGTAAATATCAAAATTTATTTGTTAAGCATGCAATAACATAAAAATTATGTGGTATGTATATAAATTCCCTAAATTTAGAGAGCTCGTTTAAAAATGAATTTATTAAAATTGCTTGTTGAGTTCAAAATTAATATTTACATGTAATTTTAAGTTTTATATGGATACGATCTACTTGACAATAACACTTTTCATTCCAGATCAAGACATGGCTAACAACAATGATAAAATAAATAAATATTACATTGTGATGAATATATTCTCTTTTTATTTTAGAGTTGACTTTGTATTTAAAGTTTGACCAAACAAAGACTTGCTCTTTTAAATGCCACTACTTTTAGGCCCCCAAACAATAATATTTACTAATCAATCCTTGGGGCTATTTTTTTGAACTATCGAACCAATGTATTTCGGTGTGCTAAGATCAAACCATTAAGAATTTGATATGAATGAATATATTTGCGGCGATCAACTTAAATTGATAGTTGGTGATCAACTTATAGTGTGTGCTAACTATAACTCCTCTTTAAATGGAAGTTATTTCGATATTAACAAGCACACAAATAAAGTTATTAGAAAATAGTGATTGTTGGATTTAGATCAGACTACACGTTGACCCAATGGGTCAAAATATTTGACGTGAACTCCTCTCGATCTGAACATGTTTAACACATTAGTTATATAGATTTTGTAATTAGTTTTAATTCAATATGACACACTTAACTTGGATATGACTCGTTTAAGTCAATCTGAACCCCCTATAATAATCGGATCAATTGTAGACCAACTCGGGTCAGCTTTAATCTAGCTTGTTCGACAATCAATTCTATAATTTTAACCATAATCCAACCTAAAGAGTAATATTGGTCAAACAAAACGATTTCATTTTGAGCTAGGTTCCAATTGGGTTGTTGGGTTGAATCATTTTTGAAACCTTTAAATGGAGTTGTAATAAAGTCGAGTACGTTATAGAGTACACTTGACTTATGTACTCGACTTAGTTGAATCATAAATTGTTCAAGTTTCGTTCGAGCTTGAGTTGTGCTTTCACATATATGTTCATACTCATTTAGGTTAATTTTTTTTTATAATCGTAGTTGAATTGTATTTAGTTTGTTTATATTAATAATTAAAATTTTGATTTGTACTTAATTTTTTTTTATATTAAGCTAGCAAACAAGCTAAAAATGCGAAAAAAAAGTTAGATTTTTTTTTTATATATAAAAGTATCAACAAATATTTTGTAAAACTAAAAAATAAGTAATTGAATAAATTTTAAATTAGCATCTAATTAATTTACGCTGAATAAATAAGATAATATATAAATTATAAGCAAGTTTTTGTTGCAATAAAAAAATAAAAATAAGCACTTATGAAATAATTCATTAAAATAAAAAAAAGAAATTGCATTAATTTTGTATAGATATTAATATTAAATTATAATAAGCAAGTAACGAATATATAATTAAGTCCTAATTAATAAATTTTATTTAAATAACATATCATATAAAAATAGATTATTTAACAAATTTACATGTTGAACAACATACGAGGTTGCTCATGAATATTATTAACAAATAAGTTGTAATATGTTCAAATTTAATTTATTTAACGTTTGAATTTTCAAAAAATCATTTAAATTAATTTATTTGCATTTATTTTCAAATATAACAATTTGATAATAATTTTTTATTTAATTTTAAATTACTTTGTTTCAAGATGTTATTAATTAACATCGATTTAAATTAGCCTAAAAAATTAGCGGAACTATCTGTTAATCTAAATATTTTTTAGAGGGAAATATTAATCTATTGTTTATATTGTAGATTAGTGGAATTAATCATAGTAACATGAGCATAAGTTATAAATATGAGTTTAAAGGATGAATCTTGGATGCTAAACCTTATTATTTTGTATATTATGATAGATAGCAAAAATCATAAAATCTCTTTCTATACAAGAATTTCGAGGTATTTAAGACATCCAAATTCTTAGAAGCTCACATATGATCAAGGTTGTCCAACATTGACCATCCATTCAGATGGTTGGAAATGTAACAGGCCAAAAAACTAAGTTGACGCTCCTCAAAACTCTATAAATTGGCCCCATTCTTAAGGCGAGAGAGTAGAGGAACAAAAGAAACGAAATTCTAGAGTATGTTACGGAGAGAGGTGCAAGTGAGTAATCACATGCTCAACAGCCGCCAACCATCATAGACCACCACCATGTCTATCACCGTCGACCACTGTCGGCGGCGCTATCATCTGTTGCTGCCACCGACCACCAGTTGTCGTCGACCATTGTTTGCAACATTTGTAATCAAAATACAGTTGTTGTGTTAATACTTATATTTCTATTTGTGTTGTATAAATATAAATATAATTTTTTCTCTGTGATTGTAACCATATTTCTAACTGTTATGAGAGAACGACGTATTCATGTACTTACAGTGAATAAATTTAATAGGGACATGCCCCGTGTTGAGTTTTTCCACACGAAAAATCTCAACATTTTTTTTTTATCTGTGTGTGCATTGGTTCTTCGTGAAAAAATGACATTCAGTTTAATAATTATAGCTGAAAAAATGGCATTCAGTTTAACAATTATAGCTGAATAGCTCAATTAAATTATATATAT